AGCCTCCTTTTGGTGGAAACAGAACTCATCTAAATCGGGCATCCACTGGAAAAAATGGGAAATACTCAAAGAAAGGAAAATAGATGGTGGATTGGGTTTTAAGGATCTAGTTACTTATAACAAAGCTATGCTAGGAAAGCAAGCATGGAGACTTGCTCAAGACCCGACAGCATTGTGGAGCCAGCTTCTCAAAGGGATTTACTTCCCCAACGGAAATCTATGGAAAGCTACAAAGGGATCCCGGCCCTCATGGGGGTGGCAAAGTTTACTAATGGGTAGAGATGCCTTAAGCCCAGACGTGAAATGGCTGGTCGGGAATGGAGAATGCATTAACATCAGAGAGGATATATGGCTGGAAAGGGGATTGATAGGCGGCCCAGCAAACCGAGATGACCCACAAAAAGTCGCAGAACTAATCAACCAGGAGACAAAAACATGGGATGTTAATCAGTTACAAAGGATGTTTCAAGGGGAAATTGAGAGTGAAATTATGGCCATGCGGCTAAAGCCAATCCCGGACAATGATAGACAAATTTGGACAGGAAACTCATCAGGGGAATATTCGGTAAAACAGGGTTATTCCAAGCTACGAGCTGTGTCAACCAAGCTAAATACATATCTAGCGTCCTCCTCTTATCAGCAGCCCCGCTCACTATGGACAAAGATATGGAAACTACAAAACGAGCCAAAAATCCGGTTCTTCCTGTGGTGTATGTGTCACAACGCTCTGCCTACTTCAGAGAATTTATACAAAAGAAAGGCCTTACCCGACCCTTTATGCCCAATTTGTCGGGAAAACCCAGAAACAACAGAACACATATTCGCCCATTGTAGCTGGACAATCAACATTTGGTCAGATCCGAGGCTTCGAGTGGACGTATCACCAGCAAATTTATCAAGAATGGATAAATGGTTTGATGAATCCCTTACCAACATCACAGAACAATCTGGTCGTGAGGTGCTTGCAGGAATTCTCTGGCAAATCTGGAAGGCAAGGAACGCCTGGGTTTTCCATCATATTAGCCCACGATCGGGAGCAATAGTTGATGAAGCAATTAGTCTAAACGGTAACTACCGGGAGCAAAACTTACCTGTGTCGTGGAGCTGGCGGGCGAAAACCAAGACAGCGCGATGGACATGCCCAGAACAGGGAAGCTGGAAATTTAACGTAGATGGGTCGTGGATCGAAGGGGAAATAGAGGGATCGGTGGCTGGGGTATGCAGGGATCACAGAGGTGTGTGTTCTGTGGGGTTTGCTAGAGCTGCGTCTGCTTCCTCCCCGCTGGAAATTGAAGCTGCAACAGTGAAGGAAGCTCTGCGCTGTTTGGGAGAAGAGGCAGCGACGAAGAACAATCCTACGCTGGAATTCTGCGTGCAGTCAGACAACGCAGCTGCAGTAAAATACACCCTTGACCCAGCTTTGAGCCCATGGGCTTTGAGGAGTCTGTTTGAGGAATGCAACAAGTTACTCTCCCAATTAAAGGGGGTTTCTCTAGTCCACTGTCCGCGCGAGTCCAATCAAGTAGCAGACTGGATCGCCAAAAATCATCGAAAAGGGAAGCTTCCGGCCAACTGGATGTCTAGACCGCCCCAATCTCTTTGGGATTTATTTTGTATTGACGCTAGTCATCTTCACTCTTGTAATCCGTTGTTTAATGAATGAATGGAAATCTGCATTTCGACCAAAAAAAAAAAAAAGTTAACAAGATAAGAAAAGGTACTTTCCCAGAAAACTTTACAACAGAACTTAGTACTCAAAAAGGACATTCCAAAAAAAAACAAAGAAAGATTAGCATTCTAATAATTTTCCTATCCTTGAAAAAAAAGGGATTCTGAAATCCCAAATAGGTTGAACAGATTCGTGAAATAATGCACATGACATGTATGACGTTCTTTAAAAGCAACTTAAGTCCCAAAGATGTTTATACGTAATAAATATCCAAGCAAAGAAGAAAAGTTCCATGATTTACAAAATTTGGAATCAACTTGAAAATAAAAGAAGGCCCACATCATACTTGCTTTTAAAATTCAGTGGAAAAATCTAAACCAAAATGTTGTTTTAGAAACAAAATGGAATTTGCCAACACTATTGCGAAAAAAAGTTTATAATACTCGACCAACTGCCAATTTTGTTTTAAATCGTCAAGTGTTAGGAGAATGAAACATCCCGGTTTTCAAACAACAATTCAGACATTTTGCAAAGAAAATTTTGGAAAGAACAAAAAAGCTAGACAGTTGATATTTTGCAAAAAGCCTTTGGAAAATAGTATATTAAGTCACAAGACAGGAAAAGGTACTTTTCTAAAAAACATCAAAACAAAACTTAATATTCAAAAGGTACACTCCAAAAGAAAAGAATAAAAGAGATTCTGAAATCTCATTGTTTTAAAAGAGATTCTAAGATAGATTGAACAAATTTGTGGGATAATGCATACGCAACTAACTTAGACCTCTACTCCACTGTATTAATAAATTATCTTTATCAAAAGCTTTAAAAATTAAAAAAAAACATTGAAGCGGTCTATAGAGATAATAGTATTTTCATCTCTTTACACTTTTAATCAGTGAATTAAATATTTGTTGTCCTAATTGTGTTTTTTTTTCATGGTTAATTGGTTGTTAAATTCTTGATTGATCGATCCGCAATTTGAAATTCATGTTTTTTTTAAATAGAGAGAAGATGGTCAAACTTATCTATTTTCCCAAGTATGCTCAAAAAAGGGTACACGCTCGTGTGAGGTGTTAGCGTTTATCCTCTTTGTAAATTGACAGGACACTTTACTTACTTACAATCTTTTAATAATTTTTTTTCTTTTCTTTCTTTATTTTTCCCTTTTCTTTTCGACACTGGCCGGTCGTCGGCTCCCGACCACAAATGATGGCCGGCAAAGGTGAGGCCTCGTGAGGTCACCTGGTCCTGGGTGAGGTTCGGCCCTCGCCCTCGTCAACCATGATGGTCAGTGACCAACCACTAGAAAAAGAAAAGGGAAAACTAAAGAAAAAACTAAAAAATAAATAGTAAAAAAATTGTTACGTAGGACAGCCGAATTCACATCAGCAATTTCTAGTCATAATTATCGAATGGACTGTATTGGCAAATCGTCAAAAGATTTAGGACTCAGTTGATCAAATTAAAATGTGTAGGACTGAATTAGTACAAGTGTAATAGATTTAGGACTTTATTAATAATTCTCCCGTTAAATACACGATATCAAAATAAAAAACCGAAGCTCTAATAAAAAGCTAGAAATTTAAGAGGTGGTGGGGCTAAACCTGGGTGGGTGTTTGGTTTTGGTTAAATGCGATATGCACTTATCGAGTGGGCCTTCTCTTTTAGACTGAAAATTAAGTTGGGCCGTGCTCACCGCCGATTTCCAATTTCCTAAGGTGGTTTGCCTAAACGAAAATTACTAGCGTAAAACTCACAGAATATCTTTATACATCTACTCCATCTACCCATTTAAAAATATAACTGAAAAATTACTTGGTCCGGCTTCTTATTCTAAATTATACCCTCCAAAAAAGTAATAATAATCTATGACAAATGAAAAATAATAATCAAAATTTATAAATAAACTCCATCCATCACTTATACACACTTTTGCTAAAAAGTACATTGCTCTCGCACTAAAAACTCCCTATATATTTTTTCACATATCTATTCTATTTTTGCACGTGCGCTTGCTTATCACTAAGATTTTCCAAGTACACCTATCAATACTTATATATATAAAAGCAAATACTGCTTTTGTCTAGTTTTTAATATCCCATTTAGCCCTAATTTGCACGTTTCTTTAACGTTGTAGTGCAATTTAACTTAAAAGACGAACAAGTGAAATCATATAGAGAAAAAAGAGTATACATGTGTCGTTCTTTAAAACCTGCTCCCATGAAGAAATTCTAGGGGGCGAGTGTACAAAAATCTTATTCACGGAAAATCATCATAAATCCATGCGGAAAACTCGTGCAAAGCTCTAATCAATTCTGATCGGAAAAATCTGATCTCCTTGCCTTATTTTCTCGAGAAATTATTAGATGAGTATGCCGTCCCTTTCGCACGCGGTCTTAAACTCATTCAAACGGACCATCTTGATTTCGTGTTTCATGCGAGAAGGCAACGTAGACATCATGAGTACAATAATCCCTCCTTGAAAACCAAAATTATCATAGGGAAAAAAAACCATTATCTATCTTAATTACATCTAACATGTCCAAATCCGATGCTCCCCCATGTTGACGTGTCCGGATCTGAGTGGAAAACAATTAATAATTAGGTCGACTGTTGTAGTGAGTAGCCCGCCTAACCATAACATCAAGCTTTTTTTCTTTTGCCATAAAAATGTATTTTATAAGTGTACTAAATAGCACAACATTAATTGAGACTGGTTCTTGAAATGATCAGACCTTGACTCGAGAACGGATCTCAACATCCGCATTTTCGTGAAAATCGTTTCTCTCGTCATGCAAGTAAGAAATATTATTTAAAAAAAAGGAAAATCGAAAATAAGAGATAATGACATACATAAATAGTTTCCAAACTTTGACCCAATCTGATCTGCGAACTTTTAATTTATTCAATGTGATCCATGAAGTTTAACTCAATATTTAACGTGGTCTTTGAACATATTCAATGCAGTCTTTGAACTAAATGAAAATGTTTAATGTAATTTTTTATCTTAAATTAAAATCTAAATTTTAACTCAATATTTAATGTGGTCTCTGAACATGTTCAATGCAGTCTTTGAACTAAATGAAAATGGTCAATGCATTCCTTGATCTTGAATTAAAAAAATAATGCAGAGACTAAATTGAATATGTTCAGAGATTACATTGAACAAAGTAAAAATTTATGAATCACATTATATATTAAATTAATATTCAGGGATCATATTGAACAAATTAAAATTTGGAGGACTATATTGCACATTAACTCAAAATTCATCGGCTAATTGTGTCATTTTCCCTTATCAAGAAGTCAGTGATAATGGCGTGTGGTTCATCAGCCAGAGGAGGAGGAGGAGGAGGAGGCGAGGTCAGTGCCAGTTTGCCAGTTGGGAGTAGTTAGCTCTCCCACCTCCCCAACCATCCGCCTTTATTATTATCGCCCTCTCTGTTTTGGTATAAATCACCGTCCTCGTCTCGCCCCCCCTTCCTTCCTGCTACGAGCCATTAGCGAGACCCTTCCCTCCCCCCCCCCCCGTTTCTTGCCGCTTTGAGCCTCGGGTTCTGGAGCTCGTTGGGCGGATCTGGAGCCGAATCGCCGAGGGGATCAAAAGGGTCGTCGTTTTTCGCCGTTTGGTGAAGTGGGTCTGTCCCCAAAATGAAGGTCTCCGTCGTTGCGCGCAGTGGCAGGGAAGTGGTGAAGGGCGGCGTCGAGCTCGGTGACTACGTACGCACTGACTCTCAGTCTCTCTATATCTCTCAATGATTCGCTAGATTCGATTTCGGTTGCAAGTTTTAGTGTCGTTCAATCTAATTGGTCTATTCGAATGAATTTGCGGTTAGAGTATTGAATTTGCTATGTGTTTGATTTTGCGGTGCAGGCCACTGTGGCTGATCTGCAGGAGGAGATACATCGCAGGAGTAAGCTCTCTCGCGCACTTCTCTCGTTGAACATCCGAATTACTTTCACTGTTTAAGCCGTATCTATTTGCTCCACTGGCTGACGAATTGTGTGCGCTTCTACGTGCACATGATTTTAGCTTGCGGTTTGGGTTAGAAGGACCGGCCTTCTTAGTGGAAGGCTAGGCAACTTTACGCGGTTGCTATAGGAATGCCTTAGATAAGAAAACTTCCCCACTCTGGACTTATAAAATCTGGGTTAAATTCATTTTGCATTGGTATGTTAACTTTGATATGCGACAGTCTTCATCCTGTGGAATTCGTTTGTCTAGAAAGTTAATCATGGTATCCTGAATTAGCTAAATTATCTATGTCCAAATAAGAAATGAATTAGGTGAATTACCAGAAACTGCAATTATCTATGTGCCTTTAATTTGCGCGCATATGATTTTTACGCCAGGAAGACCACTTGTGACATGGAGATCTGCATGTTTAGGATAAGTAGAGGATGAAATCTTTGCTTAAGGAAACTCATTTTACTATTCTGCACCTTCTCTAATTGTATTGCCTAAGGCACTCGGGAAATAGTACTTGAGTCTCTTTGAAGACGATAAATAATAGCTTGTTTGTGAGACATAACCGGACTTATGAAAGTTTTTTCTACTCTTTTCAATTTTCAGCAAACCTCTTTTTGGAGACATCACTCCCTATAAAGATCTTTTGCATGACCCCAAGTTGAAAAGTCATTATTTCTGGTGCTTTTGATCACCACAGGTCTCCTTCAGTGATTACTCAAATTATGGCTGCTCACTGTGATCATGAACCTTCTATTTTCCAATCTGTATGAGTATATATAATGAACCTTTTTTATTCTCTCTTATATATATTGACTTCACATTTGGATAATGAACCTTTTATTCTCTCATGTATACATTGGCTTCACATTTTGGTGGAAACCAGTTAGCCTAGACCCTCATGTTCACTTGCCTATGATTGTTTTGGAATTGAGATCGCTATGTTAACATGCTCCTGTGCCTCGCATCAACAGCCAAGAAATTCTATCCTTCGAGACAGCGGCTAACACTCCCTCTCCAGCCTGGATCAAAGGAGAAGCCTGTCGTTCTTAACTACAAAAAGAGCCTTGAAAGTTACACTGAAGGAAACTCAGCCAATTTAACTGTTGTATTCAAGGACCTTGGACCACAGGTTTCTTACCGTACTCTTTTCTTCTGGGAGTACCTCGGTCCCTTGATCCTCTATCCCGTCTTTTACTTCTTTCCTGTGTACCGTTACTTTGGCTACGAAGGGGAGCGCATCATCCACCCTGTACAGACTTATGCTATGTACTGCTGGTGTTTCCACTACTTCAAACGAATTATGGAAACATTTTTCGTGCACCGTTTCAGCCATGCAACCTCGCCCCTTTCTAATGTTTTCCGGAACTGTGCCTATTATTGGAGCTTTGGCACATACGTTGCTTATTATGTCAACCATCCGCTTTACACTCCTGTTAGTGACCTCCAAATGAAGATTGGATTCGCATTTGCGTTGCTTTGTCAAGTTTCAAACTTTTATTGTCATATCTTGCTGAGGAATCTTCGGAGCCCAGATGGGAACGGAGGATATCAAATTCCTCGCGGCTTCTTGTTCAACATCGTTACTTGTGCAAATTATACTACGGAGATTTATCAGTGGTTGGGTTTCAACATTGCGACGCAAACCGTTGCTGGGTATGTCTTCCTTGTGGTTGCTGCTCTTATCATGACCAATTGGGCCCTTGCGAAGCATCGCCGCTTGAAGAAGGTATGTTTTTCTGACATTCTTAAGTCACTTCATGTCTGCATGTTTGCCAGAGACACCATGATTAACAGAAAAGTTAGACGTTAATCTTCTACTCAGGCTCGTCAATTCTCATTAGGTAGACCACTTTTCTGTTCGTCTAGTGTGGAATTGCTTGAGCTCAACTTATTGAGTCCAAGCGTGATGTATCAGTAAAGTGTGCTCTAAGTGTTTTAATGAAATCATGCTGGGATATAGAGCTGCTGGGCACATGTCAACAATAATCACTTATTAAAGGACAAATTAAATTACCATGAAGTACCTAGTGCTTTGTCCAAGAGCTGAACATGGCCTGAATTTGTTCATGTTAAGCTTGCTCTAAGTTTCCATGAATGATGTTATGTCTATGCATAAGCATCCTATACGACATCAGTATATGTTGATAGGTTTGTTGAGTCTAGGAATATCACTAATTGGTGATCTCTAAATTTTTTGTACTTCTGGCATTGCATTTGACAATTTCCTGTTGAACAGCTGTTCGATGGAAAGGAAGGAAGACCGAGATATCCACGGCGTTGGGTGATCCTACCTCCCTTCCTGTAGGAAATTCAACGCTATGTCAGCATCTCCATTTAGTTGTGGTTCGATTCCGGATCAGTTCATTATTTAGTCAGCAGTCCTAGACAATCTTTGTAATCCAACTGAATTAGTTTTGTCTAGCTATTGCTCTACTTGTCCTTTCATTTTGATTACATGGATAATGGCATGAACCTTATGGGTTCAATTGTCCATTGCCAAGGTTCTGGATTGATCTTCATATGTTATCGCCTTTTCCAATGTTTATTCATCTATCCATCTTTTCCCACAGAATGATGCCCCTTAGGATGAACTTGCATTATTAATCATTTGTAGCATCGACTGTGATAGCGGCCATGATTTGTTAGATATTATTCGTGATTACTTTCTGAGGATTACTTGATAAGCTGATAAAGGGTCGACTCCGGTTCATAGGTGCATTCAAGATAAGGTAAAGTTGTGCTTTAACTAACAAAACCGTCAACAGGCTATAGAATAGACTTGATCAACTAAACTAACTCATGCTTCCACATCTTATCCCTAGTTCCTCGCCAAGTTTCAGTCTCTACGATTTGCACATGTCGAGGAAGCTGTTCACTAAAAATTTTGAGCCTTATGCTCAATTCAGACTTCACTACAGTAATCATTTCAGCATATATGTCGAGTCATGTCCATCACATTCCAAAAGCTGAAGATGGGCAAACACTAGGGACTGATGATGACGTTCGGTACTACTGGCAATGCCAGATCCAAGACACCTTTCGAAGCAAGCCATATTCATCATCATCATTGAGCCACATTCACAGATCAAAAAGCCATCCTTCTTTTGCCCCTTTTTCAAACACTTACCATGGGATAATAAAGCATCAGGATAGCTCAGCACACGTGCATGACGCAACTGCGATCGTAATCAGTCGAAACCCACATTCGGACAGATAATACAAACATGTTGATGTCCCCATTTATTGTCAACACATGGTGCTCTGCTTCTGTCTAAAGGCTAAAAAGCGCTGAAGCCGATTTGTTTACTTTGCAATCTGTCCTAACGTACGTGGTCTACACATCATTATGACCACCTTCCGGAGACTCTCCACATTGCCTCTGATTATTCCGGCGTAATTACCCACTTTGGGCCCAACTGATCATCGTACAGGCGGTGTGCTTAGAAATTGATTCAGAGAGTTGTTTTCTTGCTGCTACCGTCCTCAGTGACAGTTATTCTGATATTAGGGTAAATTCAATCCCTTGTCTTATGATTATGAAGACAACTAAATCATTAGCGAAATGCATGGAATGAAATGGGCGTGTACAAAATCTCTGTTTGTGCTTATGGCTTATAAAGCAATGTCGAAATCGAAGTGATCGGTCCCTTGCGTGGAGATTGAAGGAAGAAAAGAGGGTATATGCCAAACACTTTTACGGACCAAATTGGCACGACGTTGAAAATCGTGATCCTATCTTAAGTTTTATCGCCTATCAAGATATCAGAAGAGAATCTAGTTCATCCATCTTAAGAGTGACCAGAAAAGGGAGAGAAATGTCCAAACAAGATACGATGCGCGTCGTCATTTAAAGCTGCTCCATTTAAAGCTCGCCGGTGAGAGAAGATGAAGGCTGCGACCGCGCCCGTTCGAAGCTCGAAAACCGATCCGTCGAGAATTCCCAAATTCCCGGTCACCTATATAACTCAATTTCTTAATACGCCGTGCCCTGAAAATGCAAAGTTCTTGTTGAAGTAAAAAAAACTACTAAAATCCCCCCTTAAGAACCCGAGGCTCATAGAGAACGGAGGCAATAAGAAGAGGAGTAGAAGAAATTAAAGAGATGCCAATGCCTAAATTGGTCAGGACAGCCCCCAAAGAAATAGGGGAGAAAAAACGCGATTACAATTTTTAAAATGGGAAAAAAGGGGGGGAGAAAAAGGGGGTGGTGGTGGTGGTGGTGGTGGGGGAGCCACTCATTCATTCACGGAGCGGCGTCAGTCCAGGCTGTACAATCCAACGGCCCTCCTTCGCTCTCTCCCCCTTCATATATATATATCAACGGACCACCCCCTCTGCTCCTCCTCCTCCTCCTCCTCCCTCTTCAAACACTCCCCTCGTCATCGCTCTCGCTCGCCTGCAATCTTCGCATCTCTCAACAGCAGGTTCAATCTCTCTCTCTCTCTCTCCCTCTATCTCGTTCTCTCTACCTTCTTCTCCGGTGGTGGATCTGCTTTCGATTGCTTAGATCTGCGCTCTCCCGTGGGCCTGCGACGCGCGCGGCCGTCGCTTTTTTTGGGGGATTTCTTTTTTGTCCGATTACGGTGCTCCAGTCGCTTCGGGGGATCTCTGGGTGCCGCGGAGGATCTGGTTGATTTGGACGAGCGATTGCTTTCATTTCGGGGGTGCCTGGCGTTTTCCGAGATGGGTTTTTCTTTCTTTCTTTATTTTGTATGCGTGTGTGTGTTCGATTGTCGTCGGGGTTGGCGTAGCCGAGCTGGTGGATCTGGATAAGGATCGCGCGAGGTCGCCGCTGCGGTTTCGGTTGTTTTCCCGGGTTTTTCTTTCGGTTGCATTGCGGTGTCTGAGCTGATCTCTGGCTCCTTGAGTGTCGTTTCCGAGGGGAGGAGCGGCTGAGAAGTCAGATGCTTCGAGGGGGAAATGCGGTGGATCTGTCCCCGATTGAATGTGAGGAGAGGGAAGAGGGGGGAGTTAACCGATTGGTTAATTGTCGATTGCGGTCGTATCTTAAGGGCCTTCGAGATTTGCTCTTTTTGTTGCTACTTTTGGTGATTGTATTTATGGGGTTGTGAAAAATTTGCAGTTGAGATCGTCTTTATCTTGGTCACCTTTCTCTTTTTTTCCCAATTGGTAACTTTGACGAGCGCTTGAATTTTCTAATTTTCAATCAAACTTTTGGCTGTAGCATTTTCTCGGGGATGGTTTTTCTGATACTCAGCTCATTTGGTTTATGTCGTTGCCTTATGCTAAATGCTCTGCTTTGTCACAGATCCGTGATTTCGTTGATTGTATGTTTGATCACCGAACCATTGGAAATATTCTTGTGGTGTCAATTGCCGCACAAAGCTTGAGTTTTGTTTGAATAGAAAGCAATGCCGTGCTGTTTCATTCAGGAGAATTAATTATAGCTGGCTGATGATGTTTCGGCTTGCTAATGATCTGCCGATGGAAGGAATTTATTTGACGTGTCTGAATGTTTTGAGCGGATGCATTGATGTGCACTGATGTGTGTTTCGTATTAGCGTTTGCCCTTGGTAGCTCGATCAAATGGGTGGCACTTTTCTAGGTCTTTATCTTTTGAAGCACAGTTGAGCGCTTGTCTTTCTGCTGACAAAAGCATAAATACTGCTTACTCATCAGGTAGAAGAATATGGCGGAAGCAGAGGATATCCAGCCACTCGTCTGTGACAATGGGACCGGGATGGTTAAGGTAGATATGAATTATTGTTTTGGAGCTATCATAATCGAATATGGAGAACTTATGTGCATGCAAATGTTTCCAAAGATGACGCTGTAGTGATTGATCCTAATCTTCTTTTTAGGCTGGATTTGCGGGCGATGATGCTCCACGTGCTGTGTTTCCCAGTATTGTGGGTCGCCCTCGTCACACTGGTGTGATGGTTGGCATGGGCCAGAAAGATGCATATGTTGGTGATGAAGCTCAATCCAAGAGAGGTATCTTAACATTGAAATACCCAATCGAGCATGGTATTGTCAGCAACTGGGATGATATGGAGAAGATTTGGCATCATACTTTCTACAATGAGCTTCGTGTAGCCCCAGAAGAGCACCCCGTTCTCTTAACAGAAGCTCCTTTGAATCCTAAAGCCAATCGTGAGAAGATGACCCAAATTATGTTTGAGACCTTCAACACACCTGCAATGTATGTTGCCATTCAGGCTGTCCTTTCCTTGTATGCAAGTGGTCGTACTACAGGTGAGCAATTTTTGCTACTTAAAGACTACTAGATATTGATTTAACTTGTATCTTTTTTAATTTTCTTTTTCAGTAAATTTAACTGCCAAAAGGTTCCTGGAAGAGTATCTTGCAACTATAAGTTGCTCCCTTACTTGAACAGTATACAAAACACCCCCCGCCTCCCCTTTCCTTCCGTCACCCCCCCACCCTTTCTCTCTAATGAAGATAGGATTGGAGGGGATTCTGATTCTGAGTTGTAAATTGTTTGAATCTTTTGCGAAGTAATTGCTTGCTGATCTTCAGTAATTAGTTTACTGGTTTGTCGTCTTCTGTCCCAATTCCTGCTGTGTGTAAGTTCTTTTCTTTTCCTTAATAAAAGGAACTCATTCTTTGAAATGACTATCACAGGTATTGTGTTGGATTCTGGTGATGGTGTGAGTCACACTGTGCCCATATACGAGGGGTATGCTCTCCCTCATGCTATTCTTCGTCTTGACCTGGCTGGGCGTGATCTCACCGATAGTTTGATGAAGATCCTCACTGAGCGTGGTTACTCGTTTACCACCACGGCTGAGCGTGAAATTGTGAGGGACATGAAGGAAAAGCTGGCTTACATTGCCCTTGACTATGAGCAGGAGCTGGAGACCGCCAAATCTAGCTCTGCAGTCGAGAAGACCTATGAGCTTCCAGATGGACAGGTGATTACAATTGGTGCCGAGCGTTTCCGGTGCCCAGAGGTCCTGTTCCAACCATCCATGATTGGAATGGAAGCTGCAGGCATTCACGAGACCACATATAACTCCATCATGAAGTGTGATGTGGATATCAGGAAGGATCTTTATGGCAACATTGTCCTCAGTGGTGGTTCTACCATGTTCCCTGGAATTGCTGATAGGATGAGCAAGGAAATTTCTGCGCTAGCACCAAGCAGCATGAAGATCAAGGTGGTTGCGCCTCCTGAGAGGAAGTATAGTGTCTGGATTGGTGGTTCCATCTTGGCCTCTCTCAGCACTTTCCAGCAGGTCTGTTGCTTTTCATGCCTTGATCTCTTACATGGATACTTTTTAATATGTCAGAATAGATAATCAGTAATGGGATCTTGCTTTGTTTTTGAGTGCAGATGTGGATTGCGAAGGCAGAGTATGATGAATCTGGGCCATCAATAGTCCACAGAAAATGCTTCTAAATATTTTGAGAGAATAGGGTTGTGGATCAAAGAAGTATCACTTTAGGAAGAACTGCGACTTGCATTTCTTTCTTTCTAGCTTTCATTTATGCTTCTTTCTTGTTATTCTCATGTTGGAGTGATGACTTTTGAGGAGGTGAGGACTTTGATTGCCAGGATGGTCGAATTCTTTGATTATTAATATTTTGGGATCTCTCTATATTGCTGTGCGCGGCTTCTGTAAGCCCAACAACCCCTTTTCCCTCTTGGTGTATGCTTGTTTCTTCGGAGTATAAACTAAACAGAAGGAGCGAAGAGTTTCAAATGATGAAATGGGTCATCTAGTATTGGGAGTGAAAGGTGCTTATACATTAGGTCTTCGTGTTTGAAGAGAGGTTCAATTCACCTATATTTATCGGTTCGTAGCGGATGGACATTTTGGTGTCATTCCTTATCTGTATTTGACTGAACTGAATGCCCAACTCTAGTGAGTTCATCAAACTGATTTTTTAGTTTGAAAAAACTTGCAAAGAATGGATTATGAGCCGAGAAATTTTGGCAAAAACAGAGAAAATGGGGGCACGCATCTCGGCATTCGCTTGAAATAGAGTTGATCGGGGACACATCGAAGTCAATACGTTGAGCTCTGAAGATGCAAGTGAAGTGATTATAAGCTTTCGCATCCGTGGAAGTTTAGAGATATTGAACCCTTCCCTTCAAGGAGTTCCTAGGAGACAATATTGCACCATAATGATGTGGACATGTGATTCCTGATCGACCTCATGTACTCATGATGGCAATCGTACAAATCCTGCTTTTCCTAGAAGCATCGTACAAATCCTGTTCCTGCGGTTTCTGCCAGCACTCGAGACATTGAATTAACCTAAAACAGGTGCAAAATAGAAAAGTCGTATCCATTCTAGAGATCAAAAGGAATTTTTCAAAGGACACATCCCTACGGTCTCTGAGGACGGTAAGTATTCATTCTCTACGATGGTAAACATTCCAGTTTCCTGCAAAAGGGTAAATAATCTGAAAACATAGCCAACGCCCCCAATCATTTTGTCAAACTTGAACCATTAGTGTTAGCCTATTGGATCGGGTACATGGAAAGAGATCAAAATATACTAGCATCTTTTCAAGTTCAGATGCATCTTCCTAAGGCGTGTAACGTCAAAATGGCTCTATAAGGTTCTCCACAGCCTTTGCAACAACCTGCTCGAGTGGTTTGGTGCTAGAGCGAAGGTCGGTCGACAAAAGAAAGGCTCAACTATGGATTTTCCACATTCTGGTCCTGTATCCCACCGACATGAGCGCAAGCTCCCAAAGCATATTTGGAATGCTTAACAAGTTCACCTTTGACCCAGGAATTTCAGACCAATTGACAGATATCTCGATCATCGGGATGCCAAACCATTTGCTCAGGAAAACCAACTCCACATCGAAGCACCACCTGCATAAATCCCACCCAAAGTTTTTCCTTTTTCAGTTTCTCTTTCAGAGTGGTCACTCACATGTTTAAGGGCGCGCAATTAATTATAGAACTAACAGGCTGTTAAACAGGCATTATACATAGAATGACTGGATGCTTTGTTTGTGGATGTGTGCTTAGAGAATTCTCTAAGAGTTAAGGAAAGAAGCCTCAAAACAGTAAAAAATGAAAGGTAGAACATAAAAAATCTTATGCTATGTAAATGTGATTTCAAAGGGGAATTGAGGAAACCGAAGCAATGCAATGTTGAAGTTCTCATCAAGACCTGCAGGTGTGCCATGTCTTGTACATTACTATCGCTATTTGTTCTAACCTAGAATGAAAATTTTGATTATGCAAGCAGTTATGACACATCATCTACATATGAAAATGCCATTCAATCTCACAGGTCAAACCACTCTATTTTGATGTAATTTGACTATTAAAACATGGTATTGAACTTCCGTATAGCACTTAAGATCTTTGTAGGGAAGTTTGACTAGATTCAGTTATAAGTAATAGACTAAGACTCGCAAAAAGAGTATTGACCTCTATTAGGTAGAGGAATCAAATGAATGTACTCTCGAATTGGCTAAAGCAGTAAAGAGTGTCAAGAATAATGTTAAGGATCTCACCACCCTGCAAGAGCACGGCCAAGGAAGTGGCTTGAAACACATTAAGAGATGAGAAATTAAAATGAAAAGTACCGTTTCAAACGGACGTTAGCAAAAAGCTTCCGTGCTGCAGCCCTTGTGAACATCTTGAAACCACACTGTGACAAGTAAAATTTCATGTAGTGATGAGGTATGGACATTCAGCGAAACCCATAAAGAGTTTAACAATAAAGGCACCGTCAGTGAGACAAACTGGAGGGGGAGGAGAGAACTGTTATCATGAACTAGTACCTGTGTGTCACGAATTCCAGAACCGGCAGTTAATAACACCACGAGATGAAAACCCTTCATTAAAAAGTTGCGGTACCACTTCCTCTGAAACATTATCAAAATCTTTAAAATTAACTACAAACTCAAAAAGAAGAGTCTGAAAGAGGAGGAAGAAAACTCGAGACTGACTTAACTGTAGCCAGAGCCTTCTCCTCCAGATGTGCACGAGAACCAAATGCAGCAATAGGAATATCAGATATTCTGAAACTTGAATCATTACTCGCTGAATCTCCATAATGGAAGTCCTGTCTGGCAACTACATGAATCTGACAGGCAAGAGAAGCACAATCTCTAAATTATTTCGGTTATCTTTCACAAAATACCTAGAAAGATCTCAGTCTGGTTAATCATAGCTTATACTGACCTGATTTTCTAGTTTCTCAAGGTTGTTAACCTTAGTTGCCCCATCAGCATCTAGCATTAAAAGCAATTCACCACGGGCATGAAGCATTCCCTGTTTTACAATGCTTTCACAGATGTAAAGAACTTCGATCAATTGCGGTTACAAACAGATTAGTAACCTGATAATGCCTCGAGCTATATTAGCCACGTAAGTGCATGTGATAGATATAACTCACTTTTCTAATTGCCTCTCCCTTTCCATGATTTCTACCAAGGAGGATGACTCTGACATTGTCCACCGTATGCTTTTTCACAAAGTTGAATGCTACTCTTGTGGTTTCATCTTTACTCCCGTCGTCAACAATTATGACCTATTCAGAGATGGAGTATAACTGATGTAAAACAAGGTCCCTTTTTTTTCAAATAACTGGATATTCAATATGCAGCACAAAATGGTCCAAAAGTGTATCCAAAGCGAGATACAATATAATCTAGATTGTCCTTGACATGTACAAATACTCATCCAACTAATCTACATCATGCTTGATCATCAAGACTGCTCATACATACCAAAAGAATCATACTGAGAACAATGGCGTGCCACTAAAGTAGGCAATTTTCTGCTTGATATTCGGCCAAGAATATCTGATTGACGTTAGATTATAGAAGGTTAATCTACGCAGGAGAAATACCTCATATGAAAATGACTTGTCCTTTGCCGCACGTTGCTGAAGATAACTGAATACAGAAGAAGGCAAGAATTATATTGCTTGACTGAGCCCATAGACAATATGAGCAGTCCTACTAGGAAATTCATAAAGTGTAAAGCAAATATTGAGATGTGGCACCCCAAAACAATTATGATTACAAAGAGGAAAAGAAAACATGTAGGGGAAAAGGATTTGAAAGGAGTTGCAAGTTCTTGTAATACCATTCCGCCGATCTAGATTCGGGGCATTTGCCTGAACAAAGACTAGAACTCCTACTTGGATATTAGAAAACAATCACTAATCAATTTGAAGAAATGTCCATGTACAATAATGTGCTATCAGCTTCCAAACCAAACATAGATTCCTAATTGAGAGGTTCAGTAGAAAAAAGAACAATTTTGGTTTTCCATCAGCAATTAGCGTAATTCCCTTCTTACAGTTCTATTTTACTGTAGTGTCTCACAATCATACACATGAACATAGTTATACACATTCAGATCCCTTTGCTACCCCGAAAAGGATTTTAGTATCCTCAACAGTCAAAGGAGCCTTTCCCATTATGAGGCGAATGGATGATGCGACATCAAAATTTAAAAGATCAAAACTGCAAAAAGTTTATCCGGTTGAGAAAAAACTATTTAAAAGAACTTCATATTTGGCGAATGTAGGAAAGGGTTCCCCAGCTTGCATCTACTACCATAAGGAGATTAGCATAGAGTTGTCGGTTTAACTTACTTCATGGTCTCATCAATAGCTGAAGGGAGTCGATGCTCTTCGTTGTATGCAGGAACTATAAGAGAGATATATTTTTCTGCAGGATCGAATATAGAGGGACATTGAACCTGGAAAAGCATTTTAAGTGAAGTCAGCATCTGCCAAGAATTCACAGGTCAATCATTTAACTTTATCTTGGCCGATGATTCACCGACTACTTTCCCAAGATTTAATTCCTTAAAGGATTGTATTCATGTTTCAGACTTTGCCTTTCCCTCACGGCTTATAACCGGTAGTTATCATGTTCTGGCACCAAAATCTAGCATTATTATAAAGTTTTTCCAGTATGGCAGCAAATTAACCACATGGTGAAGCTTCCTTTGCAGAACATGGATTACAATAATCAAGGCAACAAGTACTGATCAGTGATAAAATGAGGGAGCCTGAACTAATGTGATCTGAATTATGTGTCAGAATGTGCAATTAAATCCTAATTCTAAGCGAGGCTTTATGAATTGCCTTCTGAAGGTGGTAAAAACCTCAACGTAAAATCAGCCAAGATCCCAAAGTAAGCAGGCATTATCAATTCTATTGAACAGATGACTGCAACAGCAAAAAAATCTCAGAAAGGACTTTGGAAATGCAAAGCCCTTATCGGTTCCGTGCAGTTCAAAAGTCATTTTCGATGAAACTGATAGGTGGCACAGCTCAAATACGAGAACATTCCATTCACCGTTCGGCCCGCGTCGCACCAATCGGTTGACCTATCGAAAATCTCTTTGATTTCTGCTAAGGCCGACTCAATCCACAAACACGTGCACAACCTCGGCGTGCATTACCCACAAGCGAACCATTGCCCAAGCATCAATCTTTTTTACGCAAGGAGAAACCCATCCCCCCATGTACGATGAACACGCCCAAAAATCCAAAAACGATACCTTCTTCAACGAATTCGGATCCTCGAACACCGGAGGAGCTTCCAGATGTCTAGACAAAAGCAGAACAAGATTCATGAGCAAAAAACAAAAGCGCGGCTCGCTACCAAATCAAGAACCATATATATATCCTGAAAACTTCGAGAATTAATCAAAAAAAGCGAGGGGCATTTCCGAGATCGAACGTACGCGTGATTGTGCCTCCTCCGGTAGGCTTCAAGGGCGACCGCCGAGAGCAAACCCAGGAGCAAAATGCAGAGAAACGAGATCAAGATTTCGGCCGCCGTGAATAAAAATCCCATCTTTCGTCGGTATGCTTTGAGCTCCGCTTCTGGGTGGTACTGGAGGATGAAGGTTGACGACGATGATGATTCAATGCAGTTTTGGTCAGAGTTTTGGCGAGTTTAACATTACTTCAACCCTTCATCTTTCTGATCTCCGTGTAACTTCGTAGATGTAGGTCTTTCTCTTTTGAAAACGAGTAGGTCTTTCTTTTCAATTATTGTATAAATTAATTGAGTAAGAGTGAAATAACAAGAAGCCCGTCTAGCTCAGTCGGTAGAGCGCAAGGCTCTTAACCTTGTGGTCGTGGGTTCGAGCCCCACGGTGGGCGATTTCCCTTCCATTACAGCTTTACTCTTTTCTATTTTATGTTATTGCTTCGACATTATTTTGCTTTTTTCTGGTTAAAGTAGACGCATTATTTTACATTCAGAGGAACAATGTACATATTAATTTCCTTATTTTAAGTTTTGCGGTGGAAATTCGATCTCATTGTGTCCAAGTAACTTTTACGTTTGGACATTTTGAGTCATAGATTTATCATTTAGCTTGCTAAGAGTGAGATTTATGACTGTATCTTGTTCGTCTTACCCACTTTCCCTTTTTTCCCCCTAACTGTTTTCAAATGCATCTACATCACGAATGGATCGCATTTCTGAGGTGTCCATTACTAACATTTGGAATTTGGCTACTTGTTAGAGTCTCATGGGAGTCGCGATTTCAATGTGTTCCAGAGATATACGTCCAACTTTTCACAATGTCCTACTACGTACCTAAAGAATTCGTCTGTGTCCTCAAAAAAAGATTTTACTTTAGAACGGCAACGTGGCTAAAAAAGCGTCACAAGTGGATTGTAGAATTTTAATTAGAAGACGATGAAATGGGCATAATCATGCTCGGTGGGCGACGATGGTCCTCCAGAAGCATCTAAAAACCCTTCTTTCGCTCTATAAAACGTAAAATCTTTATCCATAACATACTTTAAGAAATCTGCTATGATTGTCAAATTGCAATGAAAGAACCGTGTACGTTCATGTCCCGAACCTAAATGGACTAAGCACGTAGCATGTTGAATCCAATGGGCTTTTTCTGGCCCAGAAGAAGGCCCATCGTGCCCATGATCGGCTTCAACACAAGGGCCTTTCTCATTCAACGGAAAATCCAAAGGCCCACCCCTGGGCCTCTAAGAAGAAAGGAGACAGCCATCTGTAAAGCAGCTCTATGACGTGCTATGTCGGGTCGTGTTAATCGCGCCGTGTCGAAATAGAGGTGCAACAGAACATGACTAATCTGAACACTGCAACTTCCAAGAAACACGGGCGAACTGCCTCGTCGCGAACACAACACACTAATTCGGCTATCAAATGTATCGCCGCTTCGGGTGTCGGCACGACATACTTTTAAGCCGCGCACTCCATAAGCTACCTACAACTAGGAAATTGGCATCCTAACTAAGTTCTGGGAGTCGTATGTGCCTGATCTAATCCTAGAACTTTCGTGTATTCACGTGCCCCTCCCTTAGTCCTTCCCACTCATTACGCCCACGCTGATAATCTGGCAAAAGCTCTTGTTTAATTGGGTTAAGCCCATATAATTAGGTTGATATATATCTGTGTGTGAGTGTAAGAGAGAGAGAGAGAGAGAGAGAGAGAGAGAGAGAGAGAGAGAGTGATGATTCATGGGAAACAAGTTGGTCGGAGATGGGACCGAGACTTGCTATGATTAAAGCCACCAAAGGCTGGAATCAGGAAAAGGGTGTTCTTTCAATGTCTCTCCCCACTTTCCCTTTTCTGGTAGACCCTTAAAGCTAAGCTCAGAAGGTAAAGAAGTTGGCCCGTCTCCAACCCAACACCCCAAACCTCCTTGCTTTATCATATCCTTCATCATCAACTCTCTATCTCTCTCTCACCACTCACATCCCATGCTTCCATCGCCATCTCTATCCACACAGATCATGGCACCATCAGTGGCATCGATGCAGCCTCATGAATCCCATGAACGTTGTCAACTAATGGAGAAGTTGTCACCTAAACTTGAGTTTATGTAGACTGAAACATACATAACATCTTTCCCAAATGATCCCTCCAATCCAGTTGCTTGCGATAATAAATGTCGTATGGACTCGATCTCTTTTCGCTAGTCCCTTGTACGAAGATTCGCCGCGATTGAGTGACCCGCACTACAGCTCTGACTCTTATAATCATATACTCCCTAATGACCGAGAAAAAGAATCTTTTGTTAAACTGATGATGATGAGGCCTCATAAAAAAGCCTAGAGAAGATACAATCAATTCGGCTCTGTCCAAGAGATTGATTCCATATTCAATTCAGTGTACAGGGTCTTTAACTGTTGCACAAAGAATACAAATCCCAGGGAAACAGAATCTGCAGAAAACTAGCAGTTCTGCTTCTCTCAACGCACCCTTTTACCCTAAGCTTCAATAAAATAAGAGGGAGGATGAATAAAAAAAAGAATAGGGAGGACAAGTCTCTACCTTTCAAGAAGTTCCATGTTACAACGGTAAACCACAAGTTTGTGAATCTTGCGGTGAGATAGTGTTAAATTTAATTAGTTGCTGGAAAAAGTTGGCAGGTTGTTTATTCACAGTTTGTGAAACTTTTGGGTTCACGGGTTAGATAGATCTGAGCGCACAAATCACTAGAAAACAGTGTTTGAGCACCAAATTCTCGCTTTTCTTTTTCTCGAGAAAAACAGGGAAACGGTGGAAATCTTTTGTCAAACATCAGAATGTGTTAGCCTGTGCTTTTCACTTAATGAGGAAAACCAAATGGGGACTGTTTTACCAGCTGGTGATTCAACGACAGACAACAACGATAATGTTACTTGGGGTGGGAGGATTAGTGATCACAATTATGACGATAATTACAACAACAGTGAAGGTAATGAGACTAGCAGTTCTCTTCAAGCTCCATGCTGATAATGATTGAGGAAGCAGCCCAAGTCCAAGGTTAATTATTGCTTTTTTTTCACTACAGTTCATTTATAAAGCTAAAGAAGCTGTAAGGAAGCTTAAAAGTCTAAAAAGCATTCTAATGTTACTGTTTTATCAAAGACTAGGGTAAGCTAAGCATAGATTCATTGAAAAGCTCAGAAATTTGTCTAATCACCTCTTTAATCCGAAAATGTAGGAAAATGTGTAGTAGAAGACTTCATCTTTCTTCAGCTGTGAAGAATCTTTCAACTCCCTCAAGAATTTGCCAGAAACATATGATGTGCCAAACAGAACATTGAAAATCTAGAGAAGGGTCAGAAATCAGTATGCCCAAACAACAACAAAAATCGTCATATTAAATTCACAACTATGCGAAATCTAGAAGAGCAGAACAAAAAGCATGCATGATGTCCAAACGAATAAACCAATTCCCCCCAAAATTACAACACCACTATCCTCAGAAAAATAGTCAGCTCAAACATTCTAGGGAACGAGAACAGATTGATCACCCGGAATGATGAAAATAACAGGCAATCGCGGTTTTTGGTCACGGATGAGCAAGAGCCGCTAATGAGCCATGGCGACAGGAGGGCAAAAGCTGATGCTCCTCTGATTAGGCATGGCCAACATAGCAGTGTGATCCAAGAAGTCCTTGAGCTCGACCACGGACTGCAAAATTATCCTAAGATCATCAGCGCAACCGAATCCTACGCTTCCCACGCGACGAACCGCATAAACATAGAACGTAATGCACCCTTTTCTGAACTTGAACCGGGCCATCTCACACCCGTTTAGGCCCCGGATGAGCTTCTTGTTCACTTCCCCTAGAGGAATCTCCGGCGGCCACATCCGGTCCACGGCGGACTTCAAGCTCTCGGATTCGAACACGAACACAAGCACCTTCGACTTTTTCGTGCCGAGGCCGAGTGTCAGCGTGTGCCACGCGTGGTGCGCGAGTATGGTGAAATTCGTAGGCAAATAGGCTGTTGTTGAAGGGAAAGGCAATTTGCTGTCGTTAGCCTTATTAGTCGGTGGAAAGGACAGGACTTTCAGGAGCTCAAGAGGCCTCGCTCTTCGGATTGTGAACGACTTCACGATGAATTGGCTGCCGAACCGGAGACCCTTTACTTCGGAACTGGGCTTGAATGAGAAATCTGATGTTTTTGTCGGTGTGGACTGAGTTTGGTCATTGGGGTGTTGGTGCTTCTGCTTCTTGTGCTTCTTGTTCTTCTCCTTCTCTCTCTCTCCCATGGCCTCTTGTGGTTGGTTGTTCCTGGACCTTCTGGTGTTTGAGTGAATTGGTTATGATGCCCTTGGATTTTCTGTGGGGGATAGATAAACGGAGGATTTTCAGAGGTTCTGGTGATGTCTGGGCATGTTCAAGCTTTCACAAGCCTCCTCTGCATCAGAAATAAATAGTCAAGAAAGGAAAAAAGATCTATAGAAGGCAAGCTATTCAACATGTATATCCCCCATTCACCGTCAGTGTATGGCATGAAATTAAATGTTGGATTGTCAAGTGATCTGCATCATTCTACAATATAAAGTATGCTGGTCAGATGCAAGTACTGGTTCTTGGATACCCTCATTCTTGACGACATATTACAACAATGCCACTTCTACTTGATCTGCCATAACCAGAAACTTCAGCCCTTAATTGAGGTCATCCATCCCAACCCACAAAAAGGAACTGAGAAACTGACTGGATGAGCAAGATACCAAAGTCAAAAAGATCTTTTTACTTGCCCTTGATCCCATATAGATCAGAAGCAATGGAGCATAACATGTGCCAAGGCATGATCTTGGGGGTGGAAGTGATAATTACAGCTCCAAATTTAGCATACATTCGCATCAATAGAGGCCTGGGACCACAATTGGTGGTGAACTCATTCAGGAAATTGTGCTGACCAAGAAACTGGATTTGTATTCTGTGCCCATGCGTTGAAACTAAACCCATTCGGCATTCACCCATCTCTTCTGATATAAAAGACTTGACTCATTCAGACCAAGTTTGACCAAACCATTACATGATTAGATTGATATATAGTCTGATCGAATGGATATATCTTGAGGTCATCGTTTCCTCTTTCAAAACAATATATCTGTAATGAACAAAGGAAAAGAAAGTGACAAAAAATTGTTGATGTTGTCTTGAATTCCACGAAGTTTCGATCGATTAGAGATTCGAAAAAATCGATCGGGAAATCTAAGAAGGCTTGGAGCTTGCACTCTACGCGTTTCAAATATATTTCCTATCTATATGGGATTTCATGGGAAATAGTCCTAATTCAATGTAATTGGGATGTGTCGTGATATTCCTAATATTTAGGGGATAATCACTAAAGATTTATTAGTTAGTTTCCTAAACTGATAAGATCTTTAGGATGAAACTTCTTGGGATTAGGGAAGTAGGGATCTGATGATCTATTTATTCAGCATTGTACCTTGTATCAGATATGCTCAGAAATAAGAATTGTCTCTCTCTCCCGTGGACGTAGGCGGAATTCTTTCGCCGAACCACGTAAATCTCTGTGTTCGGATTATTCTTGTTTCATCTCATCTAGTTAGGGTGCTCTTCCGCACAACAAAAATGTGAAAGAATTCATGGCTCACCGACACTTGGAAATGATCAAATACAGAGGGAGGGAAGTATAGATCAATGGGGAGACACAAGCAATAGTTCATCAGTCACTATAGACCCCACCATTCACAGGTTGGTGCAATTTGCAGTTCAGAGAGAAAAAAGAGAAGCTTTAAATAATTCACAAGTGATTTTTTGGTTCTTATTGAAATATTTGATTGCATGAGTTTGGGAGAGAGATAGGGTAGGCCTCACCTCACTTGACAACCCAAGGAGTCCTCTCTAAAAGCTTTCTTCTTCCAACTCATGGGACCAATAAGAGAGAACTCCACAAGGTTCCATAGGGGAAATTACAAAAAAAATAAAAATTCTAAACTTATTACATCCGTGCCCGTTCAATCATAAACATTTCAATTGTGTCAATTAAGTCATAAACATTTTCAAGTTTTGCTAATTAAGTCTATTCGGCCAATTTTGGCCAGAAATTGCTGACGTGAATGCCGGGCGTCCTACGTGGGCACAATCATTGCTGACGTGGAAATCACTACGCGTTGCGGCCCTCGCCGACCCTAAGTGCGAGAAAAAAAGAAAAAGTAAAGAAAAGGAGAGGAAAAAAGAATAAAATTCACTAAAAAATTAAAACATTACTTAAAAATGTCCATGTCGGCACCGGTCGCATCACGTAGGACAGTCGATGTTCATGTCAATAATTTCCGGCCAAAATTGGTAAAACGTGAAAATGTTTATGACTTAATTGACACAATTATAAGGTTTAAAATTGAATTGATACAAATACAATAAGTGTACGACTTTTTTGGTAATCCTCCCCGATCCTATATCATGGCCAAATCCCTAGCAGTAACTTATCCTATATCATGGCCAAATCCTTAGCAGTAACTTACTCTAAGAATTGACCATTGCGATGAACCGTGAAACCTTCCGAATCGTCGTCAAATTCATCTTTTGCAATCATGTTCTTGGATTGATGCCGTGTTGGAACACGTACACCTTGTCATTTTCGAACTCACCAGCCCTTCCACCGATTGCGGACTCTGGAGATACATGTAAGCCAAGTATATTCGGACGTAGAAGACAGAATCGGTACATTCTTGGAAGTATGTTAAGGAGTCTCTTCAAGATGCACATGATGTTTGGACTCTGTTCAATGACCTTGGAAGCTCTCATCAAATGGAGGAAATAAGAGAGAATGGGGGAAAAAAAAGAAAACCAAAAAATTGAATGTTATGATACTTTTTCTATTCCAAATTTACGTAATTATGTTCTCCTTATGATTATCGTCGAAATTATAGTGTTTTTTTATAAATAAAAAAAGTACATATATGTTGGAGATGCACTGAGAAATTCGTACTAATTGTTAATCTCATTGTCCGGGAACATTATGGTTGAGCTCCATTGTACCAATGTACCAACCGAATAAGCGTAGATGAGAAAACTTCAATGGACCGGACATCTACCCGTTATATTAGATGATCTGTCTCAACTAATTTGTATTTTTTTTTGGTTTCGTTCATCGTATTCTCTAAGACAAGCAAGGCAAGAAGATGCTGTTTAGCAGTTGCAACGGAACTGAACACATCACAATTGGACAAGATTTTGGTAATGAATCGTTATTAAATGAAAAAAAAAAACCAGTATTCGGTACTCCAATCAAGGGTTGGCCCCTTTACCAAAGACAGGATTGTACAACTTCAGTGCGTAGCGCTGCCCGTTGAAGGGAGGGGCGGACGGCGACGTTGGCAAATTAGAAGTCGTGAGGTTTGAACATCATTCGTAGCCTGTATTTTGGCTGTCATCCAAATGTTTCTTACTAACAATTTGGTTGCGATCGATCCGTTTCCTAAGCCCGTGGAAAGTGGGTCGGGTTCAATTTCAATTAAACCAATGCCCGATCAATTTAATCTTAACTTTCGTACCTATTGTACCTATGAATATTCACTGATTTGATGGGCGATGTTGGGCCAAGATATGCGGGTCAATCCATGGCCCGTGGTTTGTAATTGAGCCCGGCATAACACCAGATTGCGATTGCTCAAACTTGATGGTTTCCTATTGTGGGTCTTGGTGGGCCATTAATTAGCCTAACATTCTTGATTAAATTAGCAAAAAATCTTAGTCTTCATTAATTGCTCTCTATATTGTTTTTTTAGGACCCCTAACTATGAACTTAATATATGCTCCACCGCCTTTTATCGTGAATTTACATGATGGCTTCGTGATTTCTAGTTTTTACTCGGCTTTAATTTTATCATACTCATTACGTGTTCCCTTATTGATCTTGTCCTCCAAGGCATAGAGCCGATGTTGCATACTTAACAAGCAAGATCATCCAATGATCGTGATCTCCCATGTATTCGTGATTTTATTGCTTTGTCTGTTCGAGTTTAATAAGTGATTCTAGCGTACCATTCACGTTCTCCTGAGGACAATCTATCGAGATGACACGTGTCGGGGTCTCTAGAGATCTTCAAAACTCCCTGTCTCCAAGCTCTCTTAGCCCCTTTTCCCGCCACACGGTCCGGTCGATCAATCGTCAGGATCCCTAGACCCGGGAAAGGACTAATGGCGAGACGCATACAAACCAAACTATTTTTACGCAAACCGGGTATAATGTTCGACAAATGAAATAGAAATGATGTTCAAGAGATACATGAGGTTACACAATTTCTCCAACCCAACATTATAACCGTATCTTATAGAATAAGGTGGAAACATTCGGTCCATGTGAACCACGATGGACAGTACATTGTCAGGGACGATAATGAAAACAAACAGGAAAGTTGTGGTGGAAAAGGGCACAATTACAAACCCCACATTGCTAAGATACACCGTACTATTTCGAGGATACGCTTTTTATCTCCTCCTGCTGTCCCACGTTGTAGTGATTCTGGTCACTTGGGCAGTGTGTCTAGGTCATAAATATATGAGCAAATATGCTGTGCTTTTCGAAAATCTAAACATTCCAAATCAATCGTTTCTTTTTTCTTTGGAGAATCAAATTCAATCTTGCCTTCGGATATTGAATTAAGATCTTGCTAACGAGTACTTTCGAGATATTGATCAAGCATACTTGATGAGGAAGTATTCGATTCTCAAAATATTTATCGTGAATATTACGGAAATAATCGGTGCATTGAAAATTGTAATCTTTTCCTTATTTAATTATTTATTCAATGATCAACTGTACTTTTTTGACATAATCTTTGGGATTAATTGTTGGTATCTAATTTACATGACATGGCATTAATTTCTCTTTACATTCTACTTTTAGTACTTTTTTTTGGACCCCTCACGATTCCCTTATTGCATATTTCACTGCCTTCTTTGTTGGAAATTTACCGATGGAGTCACACTTTTCAGTTTTACCTTGTTGGTATTTCTATCCGGCTTTATGCATTCCGCTTTTAATCTCATTTCCCAAGGCATGGAATCAACGTCGCATATTTGACAAACAAAAAATTTTCAAATAATTGCATTCTGCAACATAACCTCGATTGAACGAGTTCGTTTGCTCGAGTTTAATCAATGATAAATAGTGTCGTTCTCGCTTACATAAAAAGAATGCCTTGAGATGACACACGAGCGGGTCGCTAGGTTAACAAAATATTATATCCCTGATTTTGTTTATCCAAGTTCGGTGAAATATATCCCATCTAAGAAAGGTTAAAAATATATATCGTATAGTTTAAATACGTTTTATATTTTATTTAACTTAGCAAAACTATCTAACCCATATATTCAAATCTTCTAAAAATAAGATTTTGACATCAATAGAATTACGTTAAATAAGAAATAGACTGAAATTCTAAAAAAGATTTGGAAATTTGAAATCTTTCATCTTTCATCGAAGAACATTCTAGGCTTACAAAAATATTATATCACTGACAAGGCAAACCCTATTTTAGGATAGGTTGATATCCATTCCATGCGAACTCTATTTAGACAACTCTTTAAAGAGGCCTCAACTGGAGACACTGTTGCAAAACCAAGTCTCCAATGGCCAGCAGTCGCGGTGCCAGCAGTCGTGGTGCAGCTAAGTCCCCAATGGCGTACGACAACGATCCGGAAGCTTGTGACTTGTTATGGTCTTCGATGCAGACGTACGACCGGGTGAGGAAGAACTTCTGGACCAAGCACTACGCGCCCGGTACCAAGAGCTTCATGTTCGACAAGAACACGGCTCCCTACAACTGGCTGATGACCGGTTGGCTGGCCGAGGAGCGAACCGTCGCGTCCGGACAGGTCTACAAGGTGATTCGATTCATCTAGTTTTTCGTATTGAGCCTCGTAAGTCATGTTACTTGCTGTGATTCGAGTCTTTCTGGTTTTCCCTCGCCAATCTGCTGCTTCCCTTCTAGCGAACTTGAAGGAGAACTTCGCCGTGAAACGATAAGAATATTGATTTTCCCCGCCCAGTTTAAAGGCATGAGATTGGTAATGAGCACAAACTTGGCTGGTCGATAGATTGATTAGGAACGATATCTCGAAATCTGTCGAGTACGATGGCTAAAATCCATCAAATGTGCAAAGATGTCCTAGAAAGATTGATTCTATTCACGGTTGATATTCTTAGAATCACGGATCATGTGTTGATATCTTATGTGATTTTATATAGTTTTTCCGGTTATATTATTTGATTGAATTTTTTTTAATAGTTTATTAATTTAAACTTTTGAACAGTTAGGGTTGACTGACTGCATGCGTATAGATATATGTTCTTTTCTTCATGGAAGTGAACTGAGTAAGCATATATTTATACGCGTGAGACCCTAAAATAGTCAAATAATGGGAAAAATAATCTTTGATCTTACTAAATAAGATGTCGAAATATAATCGAAAATTCTAAAAAAAACCAAAACTATATACGGAAGAATAAACCTAATCACGATCTCGAATTAATAGTATCGTGTCGAGAAATTGGGGTATCATAGTACCCAAATATGTCCTCTAGGGCAAGTCTAGAAGTGATTTTCTGGTTTTCCATTTCTGGAAGTGATAGTTTGCTTCTGCACTGATATGTTCTACCAATCATTTGAGCTCAGTTCTATTATGATCCAACGGGATCCGTCTACAACAGCAAGAAAGAGGTTCTGCTTGCATGGAAGGAGGCCGGATACATAGTCATCGACTAATAGCTTAAAAGAGCAAAGTAATTGATGTTCTATCTCTTGAATCTCGACGTTCGTTATAAGGAAATTTAGATCATGCACCGTTAGAATATGTTTATTTACTTTTTGCTGTTATCATTGTTAACTGTCAATTCCTGTCGTGCTGCCAATTGTCATTCTACAAATTTGCTGGACAATTGTGCAAATTAGCTTAAGTTATTTCGCGAAAAATGAATGACTGGGAAAACATAGTTTACAAAACTAAATGATTAAAAAAAATTTCGCCATTCATGAAATTTTTTAGATATAAATTTGTTGATAATGAAAACATTTTTCGTTTGCCGAAATACCAGTTTAGCTTGCAAACTACATCGGCTAATCTTTGGATTTGACGTTAGAAAGTATTATTTCGCAAATATATCTCATGAACAATTTTTCGAATGGGTTGTGTGCTCTTTCAACATAAATCGCAGATTCGAAATCGATTCGGTTTTTTAATCCAAACAATGAATAACAATCGAGCAAGCACGGTATTGTCTTTTCGAGGTTTCCGGACACGAAACAAAGAAGAACAAGGATAGCTTTGTACATTCCCGAGACCTGATGGCTAATGGCAACTGGCGAAGTTGAGCCTTGTTCGACGGTGGTGAGGAAAGGGGATCCGGGACTCGAATGTTCGTTTTCTTTTTCCTCAAGCGGTACTCTCTCTCTCTCTCTATTAAGGATGCACAAAATCAAGAGAAAGAAGAGAGAGAGAGAGCGGGGGAGATGCATAAAGAAGAGAGAGAGCGTAATTAATGAGGTGAGCGAGGATAGTTGTTGTGCAGCTGACAAGCCTATAAGCTTTTCAATTTTTCATCTTTTAATTTCCACTTCACTTAAACACATATCACTTTATTAATGAATCTGAATAGGATTATATATGCCACGTATGCTGATGACATGGTGATTTGAAACCACTAAATATTTTCTCGAGGAGATGCGATGTTCGATCTTTAAATTGAAGAGATACAACTCTTGAATGGGGTACATCCTTTCGTTAGTTTCTGAATCTTTAAATAGGCTCAAAAACTGCTAGAAAAAGATCAATGAAATTTTTCGCAGTGTTTGAATGTATAATTGAAGAAAGCTTTGAAGTTCATCGTTGTATTCTTATAAGAGGCATTGCATCTTAAAATTAGTATTTTCGTTGATTTTTTCTTTTGATTTGATTTTCTCCATTCTCTATTTTTAAATCTAAATTACTTTTAAATTTGTAGTCTTTGTTCCATAACACCTTCTCCAAGACCAAACAAGTAAATTAATAGAGTAAGGAAACGCCATTAACTAGCGAGTTTAGGACAAACCGAATAGACTTACAGGGTTCTCGGTCACACGACTTGGAACCGAAAGTCTTTTTTGGTTATATCAATGGGATGTCCGAAGCACGGATTCGGTGTGGCGGTCCCGTCGTCCCACACACAATCGGGTAATTATTGGTGAATGCGCAAGTATGGTAATTCGAGCAACTCTTGGGATTGGCTAACACTTGAAAGTCGGAGTTTTAAGCCAAGGGCGAGGATCGACAGTGTGTGCAATGATTTTGCTTAATATTGGTGTGTTTGAAAGATGGTTTCTTTCGTGACAAACGTTTGAAACATTTCAAAAGCATGGAATGTGGACGTAGGACTTCTTTTTCTTGTTTTCTAAATTTTGGAGATAAAGCACATATCACTACTTTTCTTAGGGTGGAAATAGACCAACCTTGAGACTCATAAGTACATGCAAACCATTGGCAAGACTCGTTCTGCCAGACGAATCCGACCTATCTTCAGAAACTCTAAAGCCCCTTTCTGTCAAAACGTCCATGTTTTTTGCAAAACATGTATGTCAACCTTGGTAAGGACTATCAATGGCAACGAGGGTGCATGCAATAACCTAATACATGCAAAATACAGTAACCCACTACATTCGGGCCATTCGAAAAAAGGGATTTTACCATAATAAGACTCGCAAAATCAATCGACTAGCACAAGATGGTCGGGACCGGTGTTTGCCCGATCGGAATTCCAGCAACCCGGTGAATCGAAATCGAGTTCGATGTCGCGTTCCTCTTCTATTCGAAGAGTCGAATCAACGTTGGAGCAGTAAGCGAAATCGAGTTACGATATAACCTTTTCAAGGCCTAGGCATCTAGAGAGGAAAGACCCACACGGAAACAAGGAAAACACGAAACATATACTAGAACAGGAAGTCTCCCAACGCAAGAAAAACCTCAAATGTCGTGCGGATCTTGGTGATAGAAAAGTCTGCCTCGTTCTAGATGGGGCGCAATGTTTTCAACCAAATGCACCGAACAAAAAGAGACAAAATAATCATTATGGTACCAAAATATCATAAGGAAATTATAAAAATAATTTGATGGAGAAATAACGACCCTCGAGTATAATTATAGCTTCTAATGTCAAACCTAATCGCACGGCACCCAAAGTCAGAGTTTCCACAGGACCTTCTTGCCGGTTTCTCACCAACTTTATTTATTTTTTTGTATTTTACTTTTTTTTTTAGGGTCCCGCTTACACCTACGTGATGACGTCACCGTGTGATTATTCTATTTCATTTTGCCTCTTTACCACCTATATGACGACCTCGTGATGCCATCATTTTATTTTTACTTGAAGAGATTCGAGCGGTTTTTGCTTTTTTATATTCCAATTTCGAAGTTATTGCATGTGATGATAAGCTATTGAAGTCAACAATTTATGGAAATCTCGGCACCACCGCCATCTAACCCAAAAAAGAAATCATTTTTCCTTCGACTTTTTAACACGATATATATAATTATTGCATTCTTTAATGACAATTTAGAAGAACGTTTAGGTTTACATGAGTAAATGCATCATGTCGAGTAAATTACATACGAATCATAACATCTTCATTTTGAAATCGCACGTCGAACTTGATATATTTTTTCTCGAGATAAACCCGGATTCGGAGCAGATTGATTTGATGGTACATTGCTACATACATGCAAGTGCGATTGCTGCCAAAATCATAGACAGTTAGAAAATTCCATATACTCAAAGCGAAGGCCAATTCAACACCTTTCTGTCAAGCCCGCTACCGGTGGTCTTTTCGATCAGAACTTTCCAAGAACCCAAAAGGGAACGAACCAACTCTGATCTACCGTTGTCAGTTGTCGATTTCTTTATCAGTCCGTCTAATAATTCAGCAAAAAGACCTTAGCGTATTCTTGGGTGACGGTCGTTTCTTCCAGTGGGAATAGCTTTGCTTTCACACCTTGAGCACCTGCTCCTTCTTTCCACTTTGCTCGGGTCTTGTTTTCACACCCTCCCTCATTTTCCTTCTTTGAAGCTTCAACTGCTGCCCTTCTCTCTCTCTCTCTCTCTCTCTCTCTCCCTGGAAACTGGTGGTTCTTTAGGAGGAGAGGAGAGGTGCAAATTGTTGATCTTTTCTTGGCTTCTCCTACATGGGGTGTTGCTTGAGTGCAAGAATCAAAGCTGACAATCTATTTCCCACAGGTATGAACCGGTCCTAACTCGTTTTCAGATGAAAGTTCGAGCTATACTGATGGCCTTTACTCGGGCACGAGGATCGCATTGGGTGTTATTGCCAGAATTAAGGACGTGCCATGGATAAATACGCTAGCTGTGTTGGCTATTGACCCTCCACTTGTTTTAGCTAGTTTCATTTTCCTTGATCAGGGGAAAGCTTTATTTATAGTGATGAGTTGTCTTTTTGGCTGATACGGTTGTTTTTGGGTTATTTCGAGTAAAAGTTTGTACTCAAGCTTCTCTTGAGCACCAGAATGTTTAGTCATTTCTAAAGCTGCTCTGGTTGTCTGGATCTTGAATGCCTGGCTTCGAGTATATTTTAGTCCTGTTTTTTGTAGGGTCTGAGATCACTACAAAAGGTTCTTCACTGAAATCTATCAATTTCCTCATACTCTTGGTGGCTATTATATGTTTTGGCTACAAATAATTACATCAACTGACGCAGAAAATATTAATGTAGAATGTTGAGACAGGTTGGAGTAGCTGAAATTGATGATCGGAAGTAACCAATCAAGATTACGGTTCTTTCGTATGTGATGAGATAAATGGCTTTTTCACTTTTGTCTAGGGGGAAAACAAGGGAATGTCTCGGGGGGTTCGAGCCGCAAGGTCTCATCCTATTCGGGGCCTCAAACTTCTCGGACAGAGGATGAGATATTGGAGTCATCCAATTTGAAGAGCTTCAGCTATAATGAACTCAGGGTGGCGACCAGGAACTTCCGGCCCGACAGTGTGTTGGGTGAAGGAGGTTTCGGGAGTGTTTACAAGGGATGGGTCGATGAACAAACCTTCGCTGCAACCAAGCCTGGAAGTGGCATTGTCATTGCGGTCAAGCGGCTTAACCAAGAAGGTTTCCAAGGTCACAAGGAGTGGTTGGTGAGTGTCATTTTTAGTACTATGCATCTCAAATAGTTTAAACATTCACAGCTTCTCTCGTTTTGTTTGCTTTTGAATGCACGCGACATGCAATTTATAGCTGGCCATGTTCTTAAACAATTTGATTTCAGCTCCAGATGTCAGTTCTGTTCTTTTCTTGACATGACTTTTAAAATGCAGACCGAAATAAATTACTTGGGGCAGCTGTATCACCCTAATCTAGTGAAACTGATTGGTTTTTGCTTGGAGGATGAGCACCGGCTTCTGGTTTATGAATTCATGCCTCGAGGCAGCTTGGAAAATCATCTGTTCAGGAGTGAGTAGTTTCCTGTAATAAAAGCGTGCTCTTCTCTGTTTTTATCAGAACTTTTTCTTGTAAACACGTACCTTAAAAGTCCAATCTTCATGAACAGGGAATTCCTACTATCAGCCACTATCTTGGAAACTCCGCATAAAGATTGCGCTTGGTGCTGCCAAAGGTGTCGCATTTCTTCATAGTGATGAGGCCAAAGTGATATATCGAGACATTAAGCCATCCAACATCTTGTTGGATTCGGTATGTAATAGAGAAGTTCTGTAGTGATATATAGCAGATAGGACTTGGAAGTTTTTGTCTTGCCTAGTCTTGCGCTCCTCACTCTTGAATTTTGCATTACGTGTACAGGATTACGATGCAAAACTTTCCGATTTTGGATTGGCCAAGGATGGGCCGACAGGCGACAAAAGCCATGTCTCTACAAGAATAATGGGTACCTTTGGATATGCTGCTCCAGAATATATGTCCACAGGTATCTGTCAATTGTGCAGTTCATTTTGACATTCTGATATCCTGATTCTTAAGCAAATGTTACTCCTGCAATTTCATCCATATCATCCCAAAATTTTCCTGTAGGCTGAAAAGCCTACTACTTGATGCAGCATTTTCTAGGTTAATACTCGACTCTGGTGAATTTTTGAGGACTAAGTCTGATCATTTATGGAAAAATATCATGAACTGGTTATGTGGTCATGTTTGTTCATTTCAGCTTGCGTTCGAAGAATTCATCTGATCGACCAACAAGTAGTGGAGTTAATTTTTTTAACGAAATCCTTAGTAGGATGTCATTAAATGGCATATGCAATCATCATGATGGTCATGATCCAAAAAAAGTCTCTCCCATCTAGATTCTAACATTTAACTCGTTCTCTTGTACAGGGCATCTCAGTCAAAAGAGTGACGTCTACAGCTTCGGGGTTGTCCTCCTCGAAATGCTATGTGGCAGGAGAGCGGTGGACAAAAACAGGCCGGCGGGAGAGCACAACTTAGTTGAATGGGCCAGACCTCACCTCACGAGCAAACGGAAGATTCTCCAAGTGATGGATCCTCGTATTCAAGGGCAGTACTCATTGGGCGTGGCCCTGAAATTAGCGAAGCTCGCAATCTGTTGCCTCTCAACTGAACCTAAGTGCAGGCCGACTATGAACGAGGTGGTCAGAGCATTGGAGCAACTTCAGGCCTCCGAAGAGGTAAAGGCTAATGAAACTTCATCAGAAGTGCAACACCCTTCAAGTTCGAGCGACGACTCCAAACATCCTAGAAGCACCAATGACAATAGTAAAGAACACAATGCGCTTCAATGAATGACATGGTTTGTAGAGTTACGCCACACTGGGAGGCGGTTTTTGAACTCGCCATAGCTACACTCACCGAACAAGTCTTCGGTTTGGAAGCTGAAGAGCATAGAGAATTATGATCCCCGGATCGTTGTCGATCCCATTTTCTCAGTGCCTCGCTGCCGAATCCTGAAGAGAGGATATTTTATCTGGTTGTATGTTATTCCTGCATAGCTGATAATATCATCCACTTGCTGTGTATACATGTTTGTTGTTCCTCACTAGTAATGAATACCAACTTTTGCCTTGCTGATGTAAAGCTCGAGCTGATTCGGCACATCCAAAGAGGCTTTGGATACCTTTTACGCGCTCCGTATCCGATCTTTCCTTTCCCTTTCCCTTTATCCTTAAAGAAAGGAAGCTTGATCAGCAATCCCCAAAGGGCTTACAAAGCGAAGCATCCTTTGCTTTGTGGGTGCTATAGAGAAGCAGTCTGATAGCTTTCTTGAGAATATATGCTATTCCTGAAGCAAATGATAGGTAAAAGAGAGTCAATATTCCCAAAATGAGACCATATGAAAATGAGGAACAGGCCATCATGGACAAAGAAAAGATCACCAAGAGCAGAGCAGAGAAAGATCATCTTTGTTCACAAAATTGCGCGCTTTTCCGAGGAGGCACGAGAACGGTGTAGCTTTTGTGTGCGACATACTCGTGCATCTGTTTGCGATTTCAATCTTTCCACGCTAACAAAAACGACATACTTGTCTGGAAAAGGGGAAGAAAACTTGTGTTAAAAGAAGCAAACTCCTTTCGAAAATTTTTAGAATCCAAAGGGGGTTTAAATTAAGAGAAACGAACGATTAATCTGTAGGGATGACCTGGAATAGGCAAAACAGTCACTTGGGTTAAATCAGAAGGGTCATCAAACTTGAAAACTAGATATATTAATAATTACCATTTTGAAAAACACAGCCGTCTTAGCTCAGCCGGTAGAGCGCATGGCTTTTAACCATGTGGTCGTGGGTTCGATTCCCACAGACGGCGGTCTGTATAATTTTAACTATTTTTTTGTTATCTTTTTCCCAACTTGTTATGTTGGTGGCACTCAACGACTTCAACTTGCTTCCAAATTCAGTTCTCTTCTCTCTCTCTTAAATATTTTTTTTCTGTATTCCAGGGGGAGGTGACCTGTGACAAAAATGAAAACTGTTCATGGGGTTCACGTCAATTGCCCAATTTGCCAAAAATGTTTGTATTAAATTCAAATGTGTTTCGGTTGACCTCCAAGACCAAGATTCATGTGACCACCATGCACTCCACTAATGCCATTGCCCACCACCACCACCACCACCCTCTCCCCTCCAAACCAGATTCTTCTCCCACCGCAATGTTCTCATGCATTCGCACACTTTTAACTCCTCTCTCTCTCTCTCCCCTTTTGTCTCTCGTATTCCCTCTCAATGTCCTCTCCTTCTTCTTCTTCCCCTCCCTTCGTTCTCTCGTTCTTATAAACCTGACCTTTCTTTTCCTTCTTCTTTCGACCTTCTTCGCGTTGCGAATACAATGAAATTCGAGGACCTGCTGATGGAGAGAAGCGAGGAGAAGCAGAAAAGACAGGACCTTGAGGAGGAGGTATGGCCTGGCCCCTCTCTCTCTCTCTCTCTCTCTCTCTCTCTCTCTCTCTCTCTCTCTCTCTCTCTCTCTCTGGGTTCTTTTATTGATGAAATGAAAAGGGTGATAACAAAATATTTGGCAGGTGACCAAGTTGCAAGCGGAATTGGAGGGGCAGCAAGTGCTCAACGGGGTCTTGCACTGTGCACTCGACTGCCCTGCTTCTTCCCACCCGGGTCTTCCCTCTCTGATTCCACCTCAGGTGACGAGCTCCACAATCTAGGCATCCATTGATGCATAACATTTGCGAGTGCATCATGGTCGTGTTGCATTTGATGCGGTGTCCTTGTGGTTGTGTCATCCGTTGTCTTGGTTAAAAAAAAGACGTCTTCGAAAAAGTTATGTATACCAACTCGATTTTATCATATTAGTGCCGAGCCAGATAGATTACAATGATGGGTCTAGATGTAGGTGCAGCACCCTTTTTGCTTAAGAGATTTCATGAGGCTCCCTAGGACTTGTCGAACACGCATTGACGCCCCGGAAGCTTGAGTAATTTGAGCAAAAGTATGAGACTGGCGTGATTGACATGGGTGGTGTATGTGGTGAAGAGCTGGGAAGTATCTTTGCATCTCTCACCTAATTGATACGATAATTTCCCAACGTTGTTTACATGTACAGGTTCAGGCGCTTCTGTCTGAATTAGCTATGGCGGAAGAAGAGATCGTTTGGCTAGAGCAGAAAATCAAAGATATGAAATGGAGGCTGTACCAAGAAAAGAAACACACACAGGAATGGCAGATGCTGCAGCAGCCCCGGCGACGGCGGCAACCGAATCGTTGTATCGACTACCAAGCAGAGATGAGAGAACACGAGCAGCCTTTGAAAATGCACTATTTAGAAGAAGCAAGGAAGCAGAAAATAATCAGACAAAGAAGAGCTTCGGTTGGTTCTGCTTCAGACATGCTGAGCATCAGTTCCGCAAGGTCCAGCGGTACGTGATCATTGGCACATATTTGTTGCCAACTAATGAATAATCTCTAATCATCTCTGAATGATTTTCGATTCTGTACCTAAATGTGAACTTTTGGTCCGTGTTCACGACTTTCTTTTGCTGTATGGGAATATGATTGGGCAGAAGAATCTGTCGACAAATCAATCAAGCATATAGGGAGAAGTAGATACCATGGCGGTATGGACCAGGAATATGGATACATTATAGAGAAGCCTAATGAACTCTCTGAGCAGCTGATCAAGTGCCTCATAAGCATATTCCTCAAATCGAACCACGTGTCACAGGATAGAGAAGGACCAAATCATGTTCCGAAGCTCACCCTAGCTTGCAAGAATTCCAAGTCCTCTGGAAAGAGCTCGTTTGGCTGCAAAATCTCTCCAACATTTGTCGATGGTTACATCTCGAGTCTCGACCCTTACGGCGTGTTGCTAGACGGAGATGGTACTTTCAGAGATATTGGTCAGTACAAAAGCTTTATCCCAATCACGAGAAGCTCATTAGACATCATGCATCTTCAGGAGTGTTTGCCAGTAATTCGGAAATTAAGGTGAGTCCCACAATCATTGAGAGAACCAACAGTTGATTTGACACAAAATCTCTTCGAGAGAAGCTTATGCAATACCGCCGATTCTTTTCAGGGTCTTGGTGCACAAATTGAGCAGTGTAGACCTGAGCTTTTTGACATATAAGCAGAAGTTAGCGTTCTGGATCAACATCTACAATGCCTGTTTAATGAATGTACTGTAAGACATCTCAAACATACATGAACAACAACAGCCGAAATCAGTCACTATCTGACCCAAAATCTCATTTCTGCCAAATTTTCCGATCCAGGCTTTTCTGGAACACGGTCTGCCCTCCTCTCAGGAGAAACTTCTGGCGCTAATGAATAAGGTATGCCAATATTTCCTGAGCTAATGAGTAAGTATTGTGCATAAGTGGTTTTATTTACATGAAGTAAGATTTCATCTTTAGTACGACAGGGACTTGTTTTCAATTGACTATGATGACATTTTGAGGCAGGCTGCATTGAACGTGGGCGGCATAGTACTAAACGCTCTGGCAATCGAGCATTTCATTCTCAGACATCCATGTGAAAGCACACATGTAAGTACAAAGACGACAGGATATTTAAGTCAGGCTCTTGAAACAAATTCATCAACCTAAGGTTGGTGAGATTGCTATCGAGTGCAAGGACCAAATAGTTCACGTGGTTCTCTTGCTTGTTCATGTTTTGCTCATCTTCTGGACAGATTAATGGTTCTTATACTCTAGTTGACTAGCACCGGTTTTTTGTATAGTTGTCTTTTCTGTGTTCTCTTCTCGTATTATCCGAAGAATCGTCTAACACCACAAACTTATCACTGCAAAAGGGTTCTATTGACGAGAAAGAAATGCTGCTTCGCCATGCCTACGGCCTCGGCTATCCTGAGCCAAATGTGACCTTTGCCCTTTGCCGGGGCAGCTGGTCTTCCCCTGCAGTAAGTCTAAGTCTCCTAGGTGTCTCGTCTCATTGATTCAACCAAAACTCTTGGTCGTCCGATCTTTACTCTTTTTGCTAATTCTGTTGATACACAGTTAAGGGTCTATACTCCAGAAGAGGTAGTGAACGAATTAGGGAGAGCAAAGGTCGAGTATCTGGAAGCGTCGGTGGGGGTCACGAGCAAGAGAAAGATCGCCGTGCCCAAGCTTTTGCAGTGGCACATGAGGGACTTCGCGGACGACATGGAGTCGCTCCTCGAGTGGATCTACAGCCATCTGCCGCGTTCCGGGACTCTCAAGAGATTGATGATGGAATGCTTGAACTACGACACCAAGTCCCACGCCTCCAAGATGGTCGAAATCCAGCCTTACCGATCCGAGTTCCGGTACTTGTTGGCCTTGTAACCGGAACAAGCGAGACACATCCCAATCAACGGGAAAAATGCACTAAACATCTTGACAGATTCAGCTCATCAGGAAGAGAAAACGACGGCCAGGCCGTGTTAAGATTCTGGTACTTGTTGGCCTCGACCACTAAGTTTCTAGGCCGTGCTAGGATGCAGCGCGACGCAATTTACGCTAGTTTTTCCGTCCGATTGGAGATTCAAGAGTGCATAACACAGATTATCAGAGCTGATCAAGCAATTAGCAGGAGCGTAATCGGCTCGGAGAGCAATTAATTAGGGTGCACCTGGAGTTACGCAATTAGCATTCTTTCCGCATAGATGTTTCAGATTCACCTTTGCTTCTGTACCATGAATTCAGTGATTTCATATCTTCCTATTGAAGAAAGTGGCTGCTACGTATTTAAGCAAATGGGAAAACATATCAACGATGGAAGATAAGTACGGAACAACTTATGTTTTAATTTGACATATGCTTCAATGCAATATCGAGGCAGCATTACTGGCTTAGATTGGACGATCATAGCCACTTAGAGCGCAATAATGTCGAAGATACTGAAGCTGAATATCCATTTAAAGTGGGACGCACCCCTCTTTATAATCAGCAGTATTTAACAAGTCTAATCATAAACTAATTGTAGCACGTTCTTTGTCTTTTTCGGCCAAACTAATCATACCAAGTTTGTTCCCAGAAAAAAAAAAAAAAGATAACGACACAAACGGTCAGTGAATCTTGACCCAATATGTAATGTGGTCTCTAAATTTTTAATTTGTTCAATGTAATCCCTGAATTTTAGCCTAATGTTCAATGTAGTCCCGAAACTGTTGATACATGTTCATTATAGTCCCTGAAATTACAATGAATAATTTCATAAATTTGTGCCAAAAGTTCATAGACGACATTAAACAAATTAAAAATTCAGGGATCACATTGCACATTTAGCCAAAATTTAGAAATTATATTGAATAAATTAAAAATTCATGAATTATATTACATATTAAATGAAAATTCAAAAACAGTTCATGTCATTTTGCCGGAAAAAAAATGATACGAATAAAAAAAGGGAAAAGTAGGTGACTAATTCATGAAATGATAGATAGTTAGGTGAAGAAGTAAAAAAACCTCCGTGGGGCTATCATTACTGCGCCTCTGGGTGGGCACTGCCCGAGCCTTTACACGTGGACGGCCGCGATCCCAGATTCCCCCCGCGCGGAGGCCCTCCGATGCGTCCACGCGTCATTCCGTTGACCGGTCGACCGCGCCGGGAAAGAAAAGGGTTCCTGCCTTTTTCTCCATCAGTTTGAGGGACCGCTTTTTCCAACCTCTTCTTTCAAGATTTCTCGTTCGTTCGTTCGTCCGTGTCGGCCCCTTCCTCGTTTGAATCGCGCTTTCTTGAAAGCCTCTCTCTCTCTCTCTCTGCCGCGACGAAACTCGTGCGCAGAAGGCCGAGCCCGAGGCCCCCACGCTCCCCCACGCGCCCGCTGTCTTGTCTTGTCTCTCTCTCCGACACTTTCGATGCCACACTGCGGGACTGTGGAGCGAGGGGTGTACCCGTTCGCCTTTGTCGTGTAATGGAATCATTGATACCCTTTTGACAGTCCCGGACGTTGGGCCAGTCGTTGGCGAAACCCACCCCACCAAAAACCCTCAATTCGAAGGGTTGCCCAAGAATCTCCGGAGGCTCCGACCTCTTCGAGGTAATGCGCGTTCTTGGAAGGATTCGATTTCCCGAGTTGAATTTTGTGTTCCTCGGTGTGTCGGCCTCTCCGTGCATGCATGCCCGGTTCTGGGTTTCGTTTGGAATTTTTGGGATTTTGCGTCTTTGCTTGTTTTTGTGTGTTGAGGTTCAGAACGGGTGTGGATTTGTCGAATTTGAGTTTCTGGTGGCCTTCGTGCTTCGCCTACGGTTGATCTGATGAAAACGGAAGCTCTGTCTTGTTCTCACCTTTCACTCGTAGTCGTGTGGTGGCGATTAAGCTGCATGATCGTTGTTTTGATGTGAATGGAGTGGAGGGCTGGTTCCAATTGGATTTGCATTGTCGGTTTCATTGTGCCGGACTTTCTGTCAGAATTTCTTTTTGCAATTCTCAGGAATTTGTGGGTACAACTTTTCGGTTTTCCAGCTTCGTTTTCTTTTGAAACTGCAGGAAACTTGTTTGTTCTGTTTTGAAAGTGTTATCTTTCGAAAACACGGAAGAATAGTTTTCAAGTTCAAGCTAGGGGGGGAAAACAGTCGTTTAGTTGTTTTTGGTTCGATTGAAAAACACGGGCATTGGTAGATGTGCTGTCACAGTAGAGATTAGACCCCACTCTTACCTAGTGTTGAGCACCCCCACCTCTCTCTCTCTCTCTCTCTCGCCCTCCCTCCCTCCATGACTGTTATCAATGGAGGCCCAGAGAGGGCACCAGATTGAAGAAAGCTTGACATCGACTAAGCCTGAAGACATGGCCTTTCCGGTATCAGGCTTTTGGAGGAGAAGTTTCAAGGCAGTTCCCAAATATCGTATACGAAAAAAGAATAAGCAAAACATGCATTTACTTTCACATTTACTTCCTGCTTATATCGAGTAATCCGTGGAAGTGAAGATCGTTAGATCCATAGTTTCCCTTTTTTTTTTTTTTTATTCTATGAATCTCGTGAATATTTGCAACAGCTAAAATGATTAATTTAATGTGGCAAATGTATGGTGAAATGATTTAATTAAATTAGCTTGACATCATTTATTTGTACAATGTAAATCTATACCGAACATTACTTATTAGCAACTAACACTATGCTTCTTAAGTATTATTCTTCATCTGTCCAGGTTCTGGTTTTTGGGTACAAAAACAATGGGAAGCTTATCGGATCACCAGTCCGATGGCGATACAGACATTAGTGATTCTGACATGGCTGATTATGAAGATAAATCATATGAAGAGCTGAAGAGTGGCAATCACCAGGTCAAAGTTTCAGATGAGGCATTTGCATGCCCCTACTGTCCCAAAAAGAGAAAGCGAGATTTCCAATATAATGAACTGCTGCAGCATGCTTCCGGGGTGGGCAAGAGTTCCTCGGATAAGAGAAGTGCAAAAGAGAAGGCCAATCACCTAGCTTTGGCAAAGTATCTGGAAAAAGATCTATCGGACGTGGCCGGTCCTTCGAAACTTGTTGATGAGGGTAAAGCTCCAATTGGCTGTAGCCATGATGATAAATTTGTCTGGCCATGGAAAGGAGTTGTCATGAACATTCCTACTAGACGGGTGGAAGATGGGCGGTATGTTGGCGAGAGTGGGTCCAAGTTGAGGGATGAGCTGACCAGAAGAGGCTTCAATCCTATGAGGGTTCACCCGCTTTGGAATTATCGGGGTCACTCTGGAAGTGCAGTGGTGGAATTCAACAAAGGTTGGCCTGGCTTGCACAATGCCATGTCATTCGAGAAGGCTTACGAAGCAGACCGTCATGGCCGCAAGGATTGGTATGCGGAGGGTACCCAAAAAATTGGGCTTTATGCATGGGTTGCCCGTGCTGACGATTATAATTCAAATAGTATTGTTGGGGAGCATTTGCGCAAGATTGGTGACCTGAAAACCATTCCAGAGATTATGGAGGAAGAGGCTCGAAAGCAGGATAGGCTTGTCTCTGATTTGACAAACATAATAGAGGTGAAGAATAAGTACATGCAGGAGATTGAAGAGAGGTGTAATGAGACATCAAAGTCTCTTAAAGTCATAATGACAGAGAATGATAAGCTTCATCAATCCTATGACGAAGGTCGCTCACATGTTTCTGCTATGAAGCTTAGGATTATTTTCTTAAGAATTTTAACATACAAGATTCAACCCCCACTTTCTGAATAGTATTATACTCTAAAGTTGGAAAATTATTTCCTATCAGCCCTAAGTTCTTAAGAAGTTAGGGAAATTTTGATCTTTTCTAGATTTTCAAACGATTAAAATATGAAACTTTGATCTTTGAACAGCCTTGAACTTTTAATTTATGTCTCGATTCAGCATTTTTTATGGAGCTGATATGTTTGACTGACCTCAAACAACACATTTTCTTTTTATGGAGCAATTGCAGAATTGAGAAAGATACAGACGAGTGCACATGATCACTACCGGAGAATTTTTAGTGATCATGAGAAGCTTAAGTTCCAACTAGAATCCCTCAAAAAGGACCTAGAAGTGCGAGGACAGGACTTGGAGAAGCGTGAAGCGCACAATGAGATTGAGAGAAAGAAGCTATTGGAAGAGATTGCAGAGGTATTTGTTGCTTTATTACTGCATATTTAATATAGAATATCCTCATCGATGTGCTAGTATTACGTTTGTATCATTCTTTATTTTGACTATCAATAAGCCTGGTGGCAATGGACCGATCTTTTAATCAAATTTTATTTTTGTGAGTGAATTGAATGCTGCATTTATGATTAGGAGAATGGAATGGTTATTTCGGTGATTATTTAATTGGAGACGACCAAATTGATGTTGTATTCAGTATTTAGAGTAGGCTTTCTTTATGGCAGATAATAAATGAATATCTTGAATGCATTGGCTTGCAGTCTGAAATTAGTGGGACCGATGAAAATACCATGAGATGCATTATGCATGCATGAAAAAATCACATTTAGAATCAAAGAAATAGCATTTTAGGAAAACATTGTTCTACTTGTGTGATACATTCATCCAGATTCATGAGCGAGACACGATATTGGATTCATACGCATCCTATGAGAACTAAAGACAGTATTTTGAAAAATGAACTCTTTTTTTCCATAGAGAAAAGAGTCTGAAGAAACAAAGTTAGCCTTGATGAAGTATAGCTCCAGAAGTGCAGTGTTGGTTGTATAACTAGACTCATGGAAGAAATATATGGTAGCCTCGTTGTTGACTGTATAATTAGACTTATTAACTTTTCAACAGCAGCTGATTTTCAGAAACGTTACTCTAGATATAATATACGATGAAGGATTCATATAGTAGACGAGACTTAATTGTCTAGCTTTGTGCTGCCAGGCTCTACTTTTGTCAATTACACCGCAGCTACTTTTTCTTTCCACTAGATCATGTAGGGCCAGGCTTTTGAAAGTTGTACTGTGGGAAGTTTTTGGAAAATATGCCTAGTAGGCTCGATGTTCTCATATATAGAGAAATTGGTTTCTCAGAATTCCTGGTCCTTGTATCACTTTTACGCAAATGCGTGCTCCAAGATTTTCACGAATATGTGTAACCCTCCATTTCTTCTTTTCGCACTTGCATTTTAGTCTAGTTTTCATTTTTGAAGCATCTGCCTTTGCTTATTTATTTTTGTAAAAATAGATTTGTTGTAGAGATGTTTAATATGATAATACATATGTGTATATGTGACACGAAATAACAATGCGACATTATTATCTCTGAATTCGTTAAACTGCTCGCAAATTGACGCCTATTGATAAACTCTATTTGCCGTTACTAATTAATTTTCGGTGTTGTGTGATCCTTTGCGCATCTTAGAGTATAATTATTTGGTGAGGCTAATTTCTAACTTCTTTTACATCAGAATGCCCAGAAAAACAGTTCACTTGAATTGGCTGCTTTGGAGCAACAGAAAGTCGATGAAAAAGTCCTAAAACTGGCTGAAGATCAGAAGGTGTTCCCATCATATTTTTTTCTCATGTCGAGAGAATGCTTACCTTTTCATTTTTTTCCTTTTTGAGACTATGATGATAGCGATTATATTATTTTGCAGAGGCAAAAAGAGGAACTTCATAATCGAATAATTCAACTAGAAAAGCAGCTTGATGCAAAACAAGCCCTGGAATTGGAAATTGAACAATTGAGAGGGTCAGTAAATGTCATGAAGCACATGGAAGACGAGGATGATGCTGAAATATTGAAAAAAGTAGATGTTTTGCTGTCGGATCTGAGGGAAAAGGAAGGGAATCTTGAGGATCTAGAAGCACTGAATCAAACTCTCATAGTAAAGGAACGTAACAGCAATGATGAGGTTCAAGATGCTCGCAAAGAATTGATCAACGCAAGTTTGCTTCTCGTCCTCTTTTATAGCGAAATTTTTTTAAATTGTTGGCTAGTAATTGGGTTCTCTTGTATCATTTGTCATCTTTTTCTTCTGTTACTTCACTCAACACAAGTTGCTCTTGCAACTGTATGACGCAGATTTGACTTACATAAGGTGCCAATCGACTTTACTTTGCAGGTGCTAAAAGACATGTTTAGTGGTTCCAAGGCACACATTGGCGTGAAGAGAATGGGAGAACTTGACAATGAACCATTCCTCGAAGCGATGAAGTTGAAGTATAATGAAGAAGAAGCAGAGGAAAAATCGTCAGAGCTCTGCTCGCTGTGGGAGGAATATTTGAGAGATCCAGACTGGCATCCCTTCAGAGTTATCGAGGTTGAGGGGAAGCATCAGGTATGACTTTTGTAGATTTCTCCTATTTGCCATCAACCAGGTCTGCAACAAGTCGATAGCTCTCATAAAACTTCGGTAGCTTACAACATCTCACACTGCTATAAGTTCTCGTTTTCAAGCCTCCTATATTTCGCGATACTTCCTGCTTAGCTTTTTATTTTGCATGTGAGAGACAGTTTCGTTTCTGAATCGACATTTTTGCAGGAAATAATTGATGATCAAGATGAGAAGTTGAATACTCTAAAGAGAGAAATGGGTGATAAAGTGTACCGGGCAGTCACGGCAGCACTCATGGAGGTGAATGAGTACAATCCTAGCGGAAGATACATAATTTCGGAGCTATGGAACTATAAAGAGCGGAGAAAAGCTTCGCTCAAAGAAGGAATTGATTTCCTTCTGACGCAGTGGAACGCACCTAAACCCAAGAGGGGAATGTCTTGAAGGTTAGTTTTTCATGTGTGAATTGTGTCTTTGCCTATTTTATACAAATAAGAAGTAATAGACGAGCGAGGATTGCATCCTGAGTTAGTTTGGATGTTCAGTTAGGGCTTTCGGTTACACAACTCTCTGTCAATAGCGTCCTTTGTTGGGCCAGAGAAACTGGTGTTTCTTTGTACTAGTAAAATGCTGATGCCAAGACAAAAAATCATTTTTAGTACTGAAAACTATATTTCTTTTTCTGGTACTTCTCTGGATCTCGCCGGTTTGACGGCCTCTCGCAAACTGTGTGTTCATGATAGTCCAGAAACGAATTAACCTGCAGTTTCTCACGCATTCATCTACAGGACTGCAAAATAAGAGGGTGGCGAGACGAGGCAATTCCTGTGAAGCTGCAATGTCTCGCCAGAGGATTGATTTTTCCATAACGGGTGACTGGCAATGCATGTTCCGAATAAGCTTTATCAAGCACTGAAGCTAAGTGAATGATTTGTACCGGGGAGGCTTAACTAACTGTGTATGTACGAGGATTCAGTCTTGTACTTAATTGCCTAACTGATCTCTTTTCCTAATATTGCCGTGAATTTGCTCCAACATAAGCTCAGATGATCACTCCATGATGTTGTCATGAACTATGGTACTGATGGATTCTGGTTATATCACGAAGTCACACAGGGTATATGAACTCCTCGACCCATAAGAAGAGAATTTCGGCCCATGATGAAATACTTCGCTAACCTCATCGATCAGGTAAAAGATAGTTGAAACCCGAGCGAGTGGCTCGAATGTGAAGTTTTTTGGGCTGGTGTGGGCGGCCCAAAAATGTCATTTTCCCCCCTTTTTTGATGCCCTGACAGAACTACAAATACATGTCAAGGGAAAGGATTGGAGCCTCATTTTATGCTCGTAAATCACTTTGCCCACCAAACCTTTCAAGATTAAGGGTGTGTTTGTTTGAGTAAAGAATATTTCACGTATTAGTTTTTAGATTTTCACTCGTTCGGTTTGTTGAAAATGATTAGTCAACGAAAAATCGTTTGACACAAAGTTAGAAGTTACAAAGTGATTTCCTAACTGAATAAGGGAAAAAAAAAATTTCTGGAAAATGATTTCTCTGAAAACATTTGTCTTTATCACGAAGTTTTCTTCGAAACAAACATATCCTAAAAGTAAGTCTCAATATATAATATAAGGTAATCGTTTTCACAGTTTATAATTTTCTTTAGTATCCAAAAAAAATTGAAAAGTTTCGTCTCAGTAACTTTCCAAAGGTGAAATGAATTTTGAATTTATCAGAAATTGGCATACATTTAAACATGTCTGTCTTTTTGCTTAAAAATTATGTTAACAAGTGCCCGTAGCGTACTAATTAAATTTTGTTTGCTATTGATAAGCGATAGGGTGGAGAGGGGCGATCAGCACTGCTACCTTTATCGACATCACCTTAAAGCTCTCACATTTATCGCAGAACCTTCATTTCGAGTAATAACTCATTCCACCTTAGATGCACAAGTCCATAACCGTAGCCTCGCCGTCGTGCGCACTAATTAATCCTACCCAAAAAAAGAACACTTTCCGAGACACTTTGGAAATCTAAGAGATTCGCGATTCATGAAGATCGATTCCTTTAACCGGATGATCTTACATTCTTAAAAGCGAAGCTTAACAAGTAAGTAAGTGTGCTCAAGGGGGGAATTGTTTCGCGATTTCCTTTTTACATGCATTTTTTACATTTCTCTTTACGCAAAAGTAATTAACTTTTATAAAATTATCGATAATTAACGGGAAGCACTTTCCCACATTCTTAGTTGCAAAGCTGACAATTTGAAAGAAAAATGTCCTAACCCGTTCTCCCCCGTTGTGACCCGAACCGACCCGACCCGGTCAGTCCACATCATATATATATATATATATATATATACCTTCTTCCTTCTTCCTGTGCATTTCCTGGTGAAAGCCCCCTCAGAAACCCTAATCCAAAACCCTAGAAATCGAACACGGCGAGATGCGCGGATCACCTCCAGGGTCCTTCTCTTCTCTTCTCTTCTCTCCTCTCGATCGATCGAGAAACGAGTGTAGTTTGCGGTGACCATTGGCGATTAGGGCAGTGATTAGAAAGAGAGAGGCTCGAGTGGGTGCTCGCCCTTCCGAATCGATGGAAACCGGTGGCGGCTGCGAGGGTCGGCGGATCAGGGTGCCGCCCCTCGCGGGTGCGTGGGGGGCTCTGGTATCTTGCCGGATCCGCCACGTCCTCGCCGCCGCCGCCGTCGGCGGAATCGATTAGGGGGGTTTCTTTTCTTTTGGCCCCACGATGACGGACTTCTTCAATCCTTGTACACTTGATATGAGCCCCCCCCAGGGTCGCGAATCCGTGTTCGCTTTCTGTTCCCTCGTTCCGAATCGCATCTGTTCGTGTTTCGCCGGGAAAAATTACTTCTTTTGTGTGCTTTTTTTCTCGGTTGAGCAAACGTGTGCGTACAGAGAAAGCTCGATCTGTTTCCTGCTGCTGCTTCTTGGCAAGGGAAACTTGGTTGGGCATCGGTCAGACAACCGTAGGGATGAGGCATCCACAGACGGCGGGGTTCTTCGTCTCGTTCTTGTCTACTGAGCCCATCTCACATCCTGTTTCATTTCACAAAGTTGTCATTTTTATTTGGTTTTTCTTCTTGCTAAACGAAAATGGGGGTTAATTTCAGACTTCGTTTTTTTTTTGGGATGTCTGTCTTTTTCTTCTTCTTTTGTGTCCATGCAGAGAGTTTTGTCATTTCACCGTGTTATAACAGCTGTAATTGTAAGATGAGAGGGCCACGAAAATGTTCTTGTTATGGTGTTTACATTGAGCTGAGAAAGGAACCGACAGGAGTCACGGATACCCTTCCTCTGTTAAGCTGTCAAAATGGGTCCTATAGCAGGTAGGGCTGTTAAAATGAGTCCTAGATCCATTTAGGTAGCGAATGATAACCGGAACAGAATGAGATCCCGAAACAGAAATAGATTTTTCTATTTCTGGTTCTAGGATGAGTTTCTGAGAAAAGAAACCCGTTTGATAACGACCAAAAATTTCTATTTCTAGAACAGAAATCCGTTTGATAACAGCACAAAATTTTTATTTCCTGAAATAAAAATCCGTTTGATAAACAACACAAAATTCTATTTTCAGGAAAAAAAATTCATTTTTTTATAAATGGAATAAAAATAATTAGAAAATTCAAAAAATTCCTAAAAATCTCAAAAAAAATCCAAAAAAAATTGAAAAATTCTAGAAAAATTCATCACAATTTCCAAAAAATAAAAAAATTCAGATTTCGGGAAAATAGGAAATTTGCTGAATTTTTTCAAAAAAAATTAAAAAATCAAAAATTTCAAAACTTCATAGAATGGCTTAAAATACCTGTGGCCACCCACTTTTAGTGAAATTTAAATTTTTTTAGGTGCCCAAAAAAAATCAAAAAATCAAAAATTTCAAAACTTCACAAAATAGTTTAGAATACATGTGGCCACCCACTTTGAATGAAATTTAAATTTTTTAAGGTGCCCAAAAAAATTCAAAAACTCAAAAATTTCAAAACTTCACAGAATAGCTTAGAATACATGTGGCCACCCACTTTGAGTGAAATTTTAATTTTTTGAGGTGAAAAAAATAGCAAAAAATCAAAAATTTCAAAACTTCACATAATGACTTAGAATATCTGCGGTCACCCACTTTGAGTGAAATTTAAATTTTTTTAGGTGTCGAAAAAAAATAAAAACATAAAAAAATCAAAAATTTTAAAACTTCACAAAATGACTTAGAATGCCTCTAGCCACCTATTTTGAGTGAAATTTAATTTTTTTTTAGGTGCCCAAATGGTATTTTTTATTTTTTTATTTTTTAATTTTTTATCGGCACCTAAAGAAATTCTAAGTCATTCTGTGAAATTTTGAAATTTTTGATTTTTTGCTTTTTTTTCTTTTTTTCGGCACCTAAAAAAAATAAATTTTCATTCAAAGTTGGTGGCCACAGGTATTCTAAGCCATTCTGTGAAGTTTTGAAATTTTTGCTTTTTTGCTTATTTTTATTTTTTTCCGGCACCTAAAAAAAATTAAATTTCGCTCAAAGTGGGTGGCCACAGGTATTCTAAGCAATTTTGTGAAGTTTTAAATTTTTTTATTTTTTTATTTCTTTCAGCACCTAAAAAAATTTAAATTTCGCTTAAAGTGGATGGCCACAGGTATTCTAAGCTATTCTGTGAAGTTTTAAAATTTTTGATTTTTTGCTTTTTTTATTTTTTAGGCACCTAAAAAAAATAAAATTTCGCTCAAAGTGAGTGGACACAAGTATTTTAAGCCTTTCTGTGAAGTTTTGAAATTTTTGCTTTTTTTGCTTATTTTTATTTTTTTTGGCATCTAAAAAAAATTAAATTTCGCTCAAAGTGGGTGACCACAGGTATTCTAAGCCATTCTGTGAAGTTTTGAAATTTTTTATTTTTTTCTGTACCTAAAAAAATTTAAATTTCGCTCAAAGTGGATGACCACATGTATTCTAAGCCATTCTGTGAAGTTCTGAAATTTTTTATTTTTTGCTTTTTTTAATTTTTTTCGGCACCTAAAAAAAATTAAATTTCGCTCAAATTAGGTGGCCATAGGTATTCTAAGACATTATGTGAAGTTTTTAAATTTTAAATTTTTTGATTATTTTTTATTTTTTTTGGCATCTAAAAAAAATTAAATTTCGCTCAAAGTGGGTGGTTATAGGTATTCTAAGCCATTTTGTAAAATTTTTTATTTTTTATTTTTTTATTTTTTCGACACCTAAAAAAATTTAAATTTCTCTCAAAGTGGGTAGCCACAGATTCTAAACCATTCTGTGAAGTTTTGAAATTTTTGATTTTTTGCTTTTTTTTCCCACCTCAAAGATCGTAACTTCCAGATGAACATGTGCTTTGAAGAAAGAGTTCTCCCAGAAATGATTCTCATTTTTTGTCTAGAAATAAAAAACCTACTTTTTTTTTGTTCTGATTTCTGGTTCAGAATCGGTTCTTGAACAAAAAGTTGTTCCAGAAATAGAAAAATGGAATTGCGTTACCAAACGGATTTCTGGTCCAAAGCTATTTCTGGGAACAGAAAATCAATTTTTGACAGAACCAGAATGGTTATCATGCGCTACCTTAGTTTCCGAGATCTGTCCAAGTTCTGGAACATATTCTCGGAACCGGTTTCTTTTTCTGGAAACTTGGAATCTACTCTCCATACTTAGAACTTGTCACAGTTTCGGCATGTACTCAATCTTTTTTTTTTTTCGTTTCATTTTTAGATGCATACTTGTATATAGCTGTAATATGGCAATCAAAGAGTTAAATTTCATGAAGAACATAGATGATGATCTACGAGCTCTAAGATTTTTGCAAAACAGGGTGGGAGGAAATGCCGAGACAAAGATTGCGTAGCATATCTCTACCACCACCAACAGAACGACCCCTTGGACTAGAGCTCTTTCATATCCTGCCATACCCCCCTCGGGGGGATGGGGTGTAGCTCCTTCCCCTCGTTAGAAAGATTGATGACCCTACACAGTACACAATGTTTCAGCGTGCACGCAGAAAGGTTGAAGAAATGCAAGAGTAAGCAGCATAGCACGATATCAAGGAGCTCAGCCATCTATTTGCTTTAACAAGAAATGAGAAAATTAAAGAAATAATCGAGACAAGTAATTAACAGATTGAACAAATCATAATCTTCTACAACCACTTGTAGAGATAGTAAAGTACGTTATCTAGGGGAAACAAGCTAATTTCTATTGCCCTGAAACACAATACGGTAATACAGCAATGAGAACTAGGTAATCAGTTTATAGGTTACTGGTTGGGTTCCTACCCAAAAACCGATAACTGAACCGCATAACACAGTTTCCAGAAAAAGTGGAACCGAGAACGGTTCTACCCTTAAATCATGCACATCCCTAATATTCAATGATCTGAGTTGATATATGAGTCAGTAAAATTTGGAAAATGGGTAGATTTGTTTCTTATAAAAAAACCAAAGCCCACTTAAATGGGTGTAGTGTAAATGGGTTTAGACTCAACCGAAATCAGACCCAACTACAAGGCCTTGCCCAGTGCTCTCCCTCTCCCTCTCCCCCTCTCTCTCTCTCTCTCTTTGCTGTGAACCTATGACGTGAACACGGAAAAACGATGACACAACCGCCACCGCCACCGCCACTATCGTCGTCGTTGTTTATCGGATCGGAAGATTGAGGCCAAATGCTCTCTCTCTCTCCCCTTCTTGTACTTCACAAACAGAGTTGTCACCGTCGCCACGAAGTACACCTAGATCAGCACGATCGCTAGGGGTGAGCAACTTGGACCGCCCAAATCGGGACCGGACCGACGGGTTTGGTCCGGTTCTCGGGACTATCGGTCCAGTTCCCTGTTCCTAAAAGCGAAACCGGTTTCCGGGCAGTCCGGTTCCCGGTTCCAAAGGAGAACCGGACCGGACCGGACCGACTATTTAATATATATATTTATTATTTTTTTCTTTAAAAAAATTAATAAAATGTGAACTAAACTCTAAGTGAACTTCATTATCATAAATTCATTAATAAAAATTAGTAAAATGTGAATTAAACCCTAAGTGAACTTCATTGACATAAATTCATTGACAAAAATTAGTAAAATGTTAACCAAACCTTAAGTGTTTAACAAAAAAAAAAAACTAAACTCTAAGTGACCAGTTCCATTGGACCGGACCGGACCGACGGTCCAGTCCGGTTCCCGGTCCTAGAACCAACCGGTCCGATCCGCGGTTCTTAAAATTGGGAACCGGTTCTCTCTATGCGGTTCTCAGTTCCACCTTGAAATTGGATCGGACCGGGAACCGATTACCCCTAACGATTGTCATCAAGAGGCTCACTCGCAGAAAGAGGCATCAAGCGCATCAGCGACCTGATTTACGAGGAGACCTGTGGAGTCCTCGAGACGATGAGAAAATACTCGGTGATCGCAAAGCGCCACGTCAGCGCTTTTTTTTTTTTATCCATACTCGATAACTGGCTGGCACGTGTATGCTGAGGTGGAATAAAAACTTAAAAAACTTGATTTTTCTCTCCTTCGTCCTCCGTCACAAAGGAGCACCCCGTCCGACCACCATCTCCACTCCTTTCGGCGAAGCCTGCGGTCGGCTCCGTCGTTGCTCGAGGTCGACCCAAGCTCCGTCATGCTTGCAGTCAGCTCCGTCATTACTCGTCCAAATCTGGCCTCGGCCACGGCCGCTAGATCCGACTCGGCAGTCATTCTCTGAGGTTTGTCGAGGTCACGGCCTCAAGGTCTGTCGCGACCATGGCTCCGCGGTTCTAGATTTGGACGCGACCATGTCTCCAGATCTGTCGCGGCCGCGCTCCGCAGAAGGGAACTCGCTGGAGGGAGCTCGAAGGGAGGACGATGGAAAGGGACGTCAGGGAGAGAGACTCCACGACCGTTCCATTTCCCTCTGGCGATGCGGCACCAGTTCGAGTGTCGGGTACAAAGGCCAAGGGAGGTGCAGCAGAGGTAGAGAGAGGGGGAGAAAACTAGCGCTAGGCGTAGCAGACAAGGCGCGGCGGCGGGCCTCAGCGACGGGGACGGTGGCCGGATTGCACCCTGGAGATGGCCGCGCCGGATTCTCATGTGGCTAGGCTGACGGTGATTGGATGGAGGAGCAGGCGGCTTCCTCCATGGCCAACAACCGGATCAGTAGAGGAGAGTGAGTTGGGGAGAGAAAAACAATCAGATTTTTCATTTTTTTTTAATTCCAACTCAGCTGACACGTGTCAATCTTATATTGAGAATAGATAATAAAAAATAAAAAATAAAAACGCGAGCCGCTTCAGCTATCGACGTAGCGCTTTACAACTACTGAATATCGTCTCGCATGAGGATGCGATCCGCGACGCCGTGACCTTCACCGAGCAACCTTGGAGGAAGATGGTGACGGCAATGGACATCGTGTACACGCTCAAAAGGTAGTGCCGGACTTTGTACTGGTTCGGAGGCTGAGGTGTGATCTTGCTGGGGTTCTGTGATGTATTCGATGTCTGGCGAAGTTTTCAAGGGTGAAGACGAATTGATTTGTTAGCTGGCTAGTGTCCTCTTCAATCAGATACAGTGTTTTAGGAATTACCGTTAATTTTGGTTGGATTAGATGATAGTGTTTAATGTGCTTTTAATGTTAGTGCTGTTGATATGCTTACTTACTGCGATTTGTTCTCCAGGAATTGTTTTCTGTTTCCTTAATTATATCCGGGATTGTGTCATTAGGGATGAACTACATTACACCCCCCCCCCCCCCCAACTGTTTGATAAAATGCTCAACCGAGCAGCCATTCCCCACTAATTTTGACCAAACTTTTGTTCGTCCCCCTTGAGGAAATAAGTAAATAACGATTACTAGGATTTTATCTTCCCCGATAATGTTAGGGTGTTGGTTTTGACAAGCTTCATGCTTGTGAACACCTGCATGAGCTTTTTAGAGCAGGCCTATCCTGTGTTAGGCTCCATGGCGAACAACCGTGATATTTATATTTTGAAAATAATCATAGTCATTAGATACAATAGTTTCCCTTTGGCTGTGTAAATTTTGACTCAAAATCATTTTTGAAAGAACTTGGGTTTTAAAGTATAGATTTTTATAGATTAAATTAAATATGAATGTGTTATTATAATATGAGTTGGATTAGGTGCTTGTTGGATTGGGTACGAATCACCAGATTTCTAATGCGTATAAAATGGGCTGACCCCATCCCGACCGGACACACCTTTTTTATTTTTATTTTTTTTGGGTCGGCATCGGATACACCATTTAAAGGCCCTAATTGCAGCAGCTGTGCTCTTTTTTCTCCATGGCTAGAGAAGGGGACAGAGCAACCTAGCAATTAGAAAGCAGGAAACGAAGGAGACAGAATAATTTCTCGATGTCCCATCACCGATTTACATTTATCGAAAGTGGGGCAAAAGAACAAGAAGCAAGATAAAGCTGAAAGCAGAGGTCGTAAGAGAAGAGAAGAGAAGAGAAGAGCAGAGCGAGATTTGAGGACACAAAGGTGTGATCATCACATATATAAGTATTAATGAAATGTGAACCTTCCATTAAGGTAAGCAAAAGCTGCGGGCTGTTACACGAGCTTTGAAGCCACTTCAGCTCCGACATCAAACGTTTTCTAGGATTCCCCTTCTCCCTCCTATCCCCCAAGAGTCAAAAAAGCGTTTTCTCCGCCACCGAAGACGCAAAACACAGACACACAAATTATACGCCCCCCACTCTCTCTCTCTTGCTCATCCACTTTCCAGGAAAATCAAAAGAAAGTCAATAAAAATAAAGAGACAAACGTATAATCAAGTTGGTAACTTTAAGATGGTGGCCAGGGAAGCCGGGGGAAAGCTCTTTTTCCGGAGCGTTGGACTAGACCCTGAAGTTCTTGCCGGAGAAGGTCTGGCCGAACTGCCAGTTGGAAGGGACGACGTTCCAGGAGGTGGAGGTGCGGCGGTCGCTGGCGGTGATCCGGAAGGAGAGGGACTGGCCGACGAGGACGGAGTTGGACTGCCAGTTCTGGCCCCAGTTGCGGCTCATGCTCATCCACCCGGTCTTGGACCCTTTCACCCACACCTTGGAGATGTCCCCCGCGCCGGCCACGTTGGTGACCAGCACCAGGTTGAAGTACCTGAACCCGTTGATGGTGAACCTGATCCCTCCTTGCTTCCGGCACGGCACGCTGCCAACAGATCGAATCGGACCACTTGAGTTATACACGTTCATGGAATTGCACGAGGCCCGTAAGGTCTCGATTCAAGAAAAAAACGACCTTAAAATTATTAATTGAGAAGTTCAAGAAAAGCCCATGAAGAATTCAAGGCCCTTTAACTGTTTTAACCCAGGAATGCGGGAAACCGAATCACTTGGTCACTGCTGACTCACCGGCGGTAAGACACGGGGACGATCCCTGCGCGGTACTCGGCGATCTTAAGGAACATGGGCATGGCGAGGTCGAAGTGTGGCCGGGGAGGGTTGCACCACCCCCCGTCGTCGTTGGGCAGGGCGTAGTTCGGCGGGCAGAAGTTGGTCGCCGTCACGAAGATGGACGGGCTCCCCGAGTGGCACCACTGGGGTTCGTTCGCGCACTTGATCTCGAAGCACGCGCCGCAGCTGAACCCGTTGTTGAACAGCGCCGTGCTGAGCGCGGCGGTGTTGACGCCGTAGCCCTGGCTGTACAGGTTGCCGTATCCGCACGCGCCACCTGCGAGGAAGTTGGGAAAAGGTGGGTGAGTGACCCTGTTTTGAATCACGTGTTTGTTGTCTGCGAAATGTTTGATGAAATGTGTGCAAGAGCAAGTTCTGAAATGGAAAAGTCAGGTTCTTGATGCAGATGTTCTTTGATGCTTCCTGGAGTGAAAGCGAAACCAGATTTGGTCCGCAACAGAATAATGTGCTTTATTTCAATTTCGGGTCTGACATCTGAAGAGCAGATCACCAAGAACACAATGCTTTGCTAGGTGTTTGCGAAAATTGGATGTAAGTCCAACTGGTAAAGTCGGCTTCTCGGTAAAACGCACCCTGTCAAAGCAGTTTCGTGAAATGTAGCTTGAAATTGTAGGGTTGTGATCCTAACTTTCCTAGGAAATGCAGCTTGAGAGATCATGTGTTCGCTATAGTTGAGCGGGAAAAAAATGCAGATGAGAGACAGCATTTTGAAAAACTCTCTCAGGTCTACCGGAGAGTTTGTGAATAGAATGGAAAGGGAAGGAACTCATGATAACCGTGAATGAAAGACTTCGAGATTTTGAAGAATCAGGACTGAGCCAATTACAGTACCCATAGTCCCGGACGCGTCGCTGCCACCATAAAATGTGGCATGGGCGGTCTCCCACGCACCGCCGCTGTAGACGCCGGGGATTCTGGCCTCGGCCAGTGTCGAAAACAGTATTAGAGAGACGAGGCCAACCACACTGGAGACACTAGCCATGGCCTCGACTTCTCCTACAGTCAGTATTAGAAATGGAAAGGAAGTGAAGGGCTGTTGGAGAAGTCGTGGGGGTGGGTGTGACTTGTGAGGAGAAGGAAGATGGGCGAAGCGTCCTATTTATGGACGGGGGGAGGCTAAGCAGAGCAACCCACATTGTCAACAAAGTGATTGGTTTGGGGACGACATTATCTCCCTTGATTAATGCTGGTTTTGTCTCTCATGATCAAATCAAAATCAATTTTATAAACGACATCTCAGTCTCCCTTCCTGGCGGCAACCCCACTTGAACTGGCCCCCTAAACAAATTTGCTGTTCGACGTTTCATTTGCACCGGTTTTGCATAAATGCCCTCGAGGCTTAACCCACGCTGTGTGGGGAGACTAGGGATGTTTGCTGTGGAATGAGTGCCGCGAGGGGCATAAAGGGGAGATGGTAATGGCCGCAAGTATTGACATGGAGGCACTTTGCTTCAGTGGCAAGTTGTGCCATCGACTCTACTTCTTTTCTTTAAAAATTCTATTCTCTCCGCAAGCCCTTTCTCTGTTTCTACTTTACCTGTTTCTTTTTTACCTTTTGAACTTTTGGACCCCAAATTGGATATGGGATTAACTCGAATGATTCTTAAAGGTCATCGGTTACAGAAAGAACCGGTATCGACAGCTCCGATTAACCCGCGAAACGCCCGAAACGAGCTGCGAAAGTGGCATCTTTTTTTCGAGACATTCCAGCGTTAAGCAATCCTCGTTAACACGTTGCCAGCAGGCAGCAGCGAAGGAGTGGTTGGGTTCGTAGCTGAATCTGGGTCGTTCCCACTTTTCAACTAATTGAAAAGAGGGGGAGAGAGCCCGATTGCCGCCAAATTGATGGACTTCACCGAAAAGGCGGACGTCCAGCTGGGGCCCCACCGATCCGCATTCACCGGTCCACGTATTGCGCCGTGCATTAGCCGTACGATGTCGTGGGAAATGGCTGTGTGCGTGTCCCAGGTTCTGTTCCTGGTCTTCACGGTCACGTTCTTTGACTCCCTTTAAGTCAAAGTCTCCTTTTTTAGGCATCTCTTCTTTTAATCATGTGATAGACGTTTCCTTTTCGAATAAACAAATAAAAAAATATTGAAATTTTCAAAAAAAAAAGGGGTTGATTTTTCGATTCTCGAGCATGATAATCTAATCGAAACAGCCCCCTTTAGTGGATCGGGTTATGGAGCGGCCTAGTCGTTATTGAGAGGGCTCATGAGCACATTAGCTTGTGCGGTTATGCCCGATCCCAAAGGGCTTATCGAGATGTAATTTTCCCTCCTTGACCAATGAAGTTTCCGTGTTCGGACTGTCGACTCGTTATTATAAGGAAGTGTCCGGTGTAATTTATGCCGAAAATCCCTCGAGAAGAATAAGGAGAAACCGGTCTTCAGATGTCCTACTCGATAACTCTCACTAGTTCAATAATGTAGCCGCTCGGATAATAACGAATGAGCTGCACATCTTTTTCAACGGGACAAGAATAAAATAACGCAAGAAGCTTTCGTCTTCTTGATTGCAGTTCATTGCTATACAGTAGGGGTGTGCAAAAAACCCGGGACCGCCCGGGACCGGACTGGAACCGGTGGTTCCCAAGGGGACCAGTCCGGTTCCCTCCAATTTTTTGGAACTGGTGGTATCGGTCTGGTTCCCGGTTCCCGGTGTGGAACCGCCCACCCGCCCACCCGGACCGGACCGGTAATATAATAATAATATATTTATTTTTTAAAATTTTAATTAAAAAAATCTGACCAAAAAAAAATTAAAAAGAAAAACGTAACTAGACACTCATAACTCTCTGCTCTCTTATCTCTGGACACTCATTTGATGGGTACCCACTTGATTTATAGATGATGTGGTTAATAAAACCGATCATAGTATAGGAATTGTATGGAAAGTTATGTTTTTTTCTTTTTGTTCCGTTGATCCGATGTTGGTCAACATATTTTTTTTTATTTGTCTAGGAAAACTTGGTGGGACCGGTTCCATGGACCCGTCCGGGAACCGGACCGGACCGTCCGGTCCGGTTCCCGGACGGGTCCATGGAACCGACGGGCGGTCCTCGGTCCCAAAATTGAGGACCAACACTATGCGGGTTGGTCCTAGGGTTAGGGGGTGGACCGGCCCAACCCGGACCATGCTCACCCCTACTATACAGAGAGTAGCATAATGTCAACCCCCAATAAACTAACGCATAACAATGATCTCCCGGCAATTGCAATCTGCGGAGATGGACTTAACGGCCAAAGCAACCTAACACATTGCTTCTGGTGCAATTCTATTCACTCGAGAGAGAGAGAGACAGAGAGTCAAGCCACGAAATGAGCAAGCACATCAGGTTTTTCTCCATTCTATACCTAATCTTGCCTATCCATTTCGAACCAAGCTGATGAATAATTGCGAATTGAGCTACCAAATCCTACCAAGGGAAGATAAGGATTTTGACCGAAGAGAAAGGCTTAGGAGAGAGCTTTTGGGGGCGGAGGGGAAGGTGCTATGCTCACTGCCTTTTCATGAAGAGTATAAATTGTGCAGCCAAAAAAGGGTCCAACCCCATCAACCAAATCGAAGAAATCCACCACGTCACCCGGAAATAATTGAAAGTGTGTGCAGTTCAACGACACCACACTAACCCTAATTCACACACACACATAGACACTAACCCTTTGCATGTGAGCATGCCCACCAAGAAGATTTCTCCCACCAAGCCCTAGCATCTTTCCCACTTTTTAACTTAAATCCCTCTCCCCTCATTTATATGTTTGAAACTAATTCCCACCTTTTGACTTTTATTTCTTTGGGATTCCCCGGGATTTTTTCTTTTCCTTTTTTGTACGCTTTTTGAGCTACGCAATGCCTTTTTCTTTATCTTGGAGGATAAAATGTAGAAAGCCCTGAAATATGACACTCGTGTCTCGCCATAGTGGGACTTAGACGGCTCGTGGGTGGTGATGGTTTTGTGATTTAAAACTGACGGCCACACTAGAAGCAACAATGGAGAAATAGTAGTCCTAAGTTCGAGCCCGGACAGGACCCAAAGGTCAGGCATAAATTGTTATCCTAATCTGCCTGTCTAGAAATTTTATGCATAATTCTTCGGTTCAGATTGAACTCGGCGGGCCAACCGGACCAGGTCGGGGTTTCTAAGTATATAGCCTAGTCCAAGCTTACCCAACACAGCCTATTTGGCTCGCGTAATCTTGAGCCCACTCGTAGATGGCTACGACTATGGTTAGACCTAGTGCTAAGGAACTGGATAAGATATCGCCAGAATTGGTCCAAATATCATCAAAATTAATTTGTGCGAGCACAGCTTACTATTTCGAAGCCGAGCATAATATCACTTATTCCACATTTCAAGATATCGATGCCCTCGTTTTTAACCTCCAAGGGTTACTTGAATGTTCAGCCGTTAATCCAAGTGTGCAGATCCCACGTTCGATTTGTAACATTTCCCTGTCGAGGTAACCTTGAAGCAATGCTTGCCATGATGCGGATGATCCTTGCTCGATGCATATAAATGAAACAGGTTGTGCATTCCACGAGAAATAATGGAGTTAATAGTTTGGATACCTGTCTTGATGAAAGGAGAAATGAATGCGCTCTCTTATTTAAACATATCTAAAGCAGCACATTATCCTTCCTACTTTCACTAAAACATAGATGCTTTAGATTAGCCGATTTTTTTTTAAAAGCGCGAGAATAAACCGACAACCCAGTTATCTATTTTCAGGCTAGGAATTGGTAGGAGAAAAGTCATGGAATCATATTGACTGGCTCCACAAGAAGTATGTGGAGGGAAAACCAATGGTGTGTAGATCTCTATACGAGTACTGAGATCGCATATTAAAAGATTTTCTTGGAGCACCCACAAAGAAGCATCGTTTGCTTGATTGGATGGAAAGTGATTCTAACGGTGGAAGGTATTTCAGTTGGCAGCAAAGTTGCTGATGCTCGAAAGAGAAGGAAATATCAAATGGGGTTCCTCACACTCTTTTTGTGATGTAGAAGCCAGAGCAAATCTTTCCCACTTTAAGTGATGATGAAGCTTCTCATCTATGATGATATGGAGAGATTTGGAGATATCTGCTTGGCTTATCTCCCACAATTTTCTTGGGCAAGAAAGGTGGTATCTTTTTGTACAAATATCAGTACCAAATCGATATGCGAATTGGAATCGAAATCTGTAGTTTATAATCGCGGGCCAAATCGAAGAGTAAAGTTTGGTGAAGTACCTAAAATTAGTGTGGTTTTTTTTTTTTCTAGTAGGGATATATTCAATTCTAGTAAACTGAATTGCAAAATGAGGAATTTTGAGTAAGGGCCACGGTACAAACACAAAGACATGCCGATCTTGAGTACATGTTACAATTTCTACAAATAAGACAGTTGCAGCACATTGGTTTATTCACTAGTGTTAGTTTATATAGTTGTGAAACTATCTTAACGTATCATACATTGTAAAATGCAACAAAAGTCAACTTCAATGGACGGGCGACATACAATACATATGAATTTATAGGTCCATGTAGACTCGTAGATGAATCGATACATTCTCTTATGACTTACTATTTTTCTTGATTCAACTAAATATATGCACGTCATTTTAATCCTTGAATTGGGAATCGATAAGTAGCGATGACTACGTATATTTCTACATTTGCTTCTTTTTTGCCCGATAAGCAATCATTTGCCGAATTAAGTAGTAGACAATAACAAAATAATGTCTAGTCCGTACACTATTAAATATTCTTATTTTCGATGACATGGTAACCCCGCTTAATGAGAAGGTTCATTAGCAAAACCGCACCATAATTAGACGTGATTAGATGGCTTCGATTAGAGCACGTAATGATCATAACTTCCTGTTCAGAAACCCAATAATCAAAGGAAAAAAGCTTACCATGCCGACGAAAATCCTCGTGCACGCTTGAATTGAAAACTTGCCTGATCTTTACCAGACCACCCAATTTGGACCTAGGGACCATTTACCATGTGATGTTCCCACTTTTTACAAAAAAAAAATATAATGCCTATGTGTTTTTGTCTCCATAGACTCTGTTCGACTTTACGCAAACCCCAAGGGAGG